TATTTCACATCACTCATCGAAACGGCACCTACCTACTGACTGTCTGACAGGTCACAGCTGTACGGAAGACAGCTCGGGGCGTGTAACTTGACAAATCAACAATATGGTCACCTGACACAGGCCAGCGGCTATATCGTGTGTCTTCAAGACGGCGACCAGCTGTTTCGTGGTCCACTAGCATCATGTTGCTCGCCTAATCCAACTGCGGACCACTTCCCGTCAGGGTAACATGATACATCCATACAGTCGCAACTTTACATGACCTCCGGTTGGTTATACTCTCTCTTTCTTTGGCTCGCTTGCCAATGTCACTCCTGCGCCGCTGTATGTATGTATGCACACAACAGGCATACCTTTGGACTGGGAACTGCAGAACCCTACCTACCAGCAGCAGACAACGGTTACTTGCCATGCAGTACTACATGCATTTCGTGTAGGCGGCTGCCGCAAGCACGGCCCCTTTGCAACGAGCCGCTCCGCAAAAAAAAAAAAAAAAAAAAGGGCCCTCTTTCCCCATACCTATGTAGGCCTCGACCATCTATCTACCTACCTAGGCCATGACGAATACTACTTACATACCACTGCCGATGCAACTTTGACCATAGGAGCAAGGCACACACACCTTTACCAAGACTTCTTGTCGGTCGGCATTGCACGTGCCCAAACCGGGGAAGAGAGGCCGTGTGGGTTCCGTAGTGGCAGGCAAGCAAAGCCAGTGTGGAATCCCACGCTGATATGTCGTCTCTGCCCGGCAGTTGACCATTTTCCCACCAGGTTGCATTCGGCGCAGGCCTTAATGGCCAAGTATACCGAGGTGGCATAAGGAACGGGGCGGGGGGCAGTGAGGTGTCCACCAATTGGTTGCGTATCCAGCCGAAGTTATACCAACCCTGGGCAATTCCTTTGGTTGCTTGCGGACGTGGTATCACCAGAAACTGCGGGCCGTTATTCATGCTGCTGGTACGTAGGTCATTCTTACCACTATAGCATGCAAGTCGGAGAGCCCCGAAAGATGCAGACGACGCAGCAGAGAAAAGGCCACCGAGGTGGGACAAGCTCTTGTTTCTTGAAACATGGTTAGGGAAGCGAACAACTATCATGTGTATGGTGTATAGGTGTATTACCATGTAAACGACCGTCTAGAACGTCGTGATATTACTTCGACTAGATGCTGACACGGCGGAGGACCACCCCCTTCGCTTCGCCTCGGAGAGGAGTCTATCCGATTCGCAACCCTTTCTTCTCTCTTACTTGCTGCAAAAGCCAAGGGCCCAAACCGGTCGTTGATTCCATCTACTGGACCACCCTCTGGCCCAGGCGAGGCGTGAAGAGGAGGAGGCTGTTGCAGTCTCGAGTCTTGGCTATTAAAGATTGCACCGAAAGAGTGGTGGAAAATGCCATGCGGCACCCTTCCACCCCTGGTTCGCATGACGCTGGTAGGTTTATACCTAGTAACTGGCAAGCATTGGGGGGTGGAGGAAGAGTTCCACAAACCGGCGATAGAGTAGGAAACGGGCGGGTTTAAACGAGCAATCAGCACAAAGAGAGGGAGAGAGAAATAAAGAGACGTGTTTCATGTGTTCCCGGCCGGATATATTGTTCAGCGTTCTCGAAGTTTGAAACATAGTGTCCAAGGATCCACAGGTATATGACGGCTGGTCGGCACAAAAAGCATCTTTAATACCCTTGTCCCGCATGCATATTCCGTACTGTACACGCATCTCTCTTCTTGTGCGAACCATAAAAAAAAGAAAAGAACAGAAACTTTATTGGACCAACCAGTAAGTACTAGGTCAGGGAAGGTAAGTGGTGTATAGCATGATTGGTTTCGTCAAAGATCTTTTCTTTACTCCTTTCAGCCTTTCTTGGCGCTCTCCTGCGCATCAACTCTTGACCCGACGAACCCCTACTGTCTATCAAACATGGCAATGCTGCTATTTTCGTTCTTAAGCTTTTGGCAAGCTTTGCAGGTTCTTTTACCCCATGGAACGGAGAGATCATCTGGAGAGACGGAAGGAGAAAGAGATGAATTGGGTTGGTAGAATTCTGTGCTCTCTGACAAGACGTGTCACAAGAAACCCCCGGCCTTCACGCACACGTGTGTGTGTGTGGTCAACTCCTTTTGAATCGAATCGAGTTGCCAATCGCAAGACGTCCCGGAGCTGGGTCCGGGAGGCAGCCAGGGTTGAAAAAATAAAGCAACACTATAGAGAAAGAAAAAAGTTACTTCTTTTTGTTCCAAATGTTTATTAAATTCAACCGAAATGTTTTCCCCTCTCCCTGTTATCCTGGTTCTGTTTTGTAAAAGAAGAAAGAAGCATATTCGGGCAATAGCATGCGAGCTGATGAGAGACGACCCTGCCTAGGCAGGCATTATAGCTGGGCAACCCCTAAAAAAGCTTGGGACAACTATATCATGCACCATCCATCCATCCCCCTTCCCTGGTACCTACTGTGTAAGCAGGCATGCTATCGATAAACAAGAGAACCCCTCTCGGTTGGACAACAAGATATTGTATACGATATACAAACACACATGTATTTGTCCAAATGTTTGCTCTGCACGTGCAGAATGTTGAGCAATGCAAAGTCGAAAATATGAAACATGCCATGTAAAAAGAGAAGCTTTTCCATGATTGGATTCTACCATCAAATAATCATGGGCCTTTGCCAACTACATAGGTATTCAAGCGTCTATTGACTCCAATTCGCAGCATCAGAACATGTCGACATGAATCTTTTTTTAATCTTTCTCGTGTAACATGCAACTAGATTAAAGCATAGATGAGATGAAACGCGCATGCTAGCATTATCACCAGTTTTTTGTCCCCCTCCTCTCGGTGCACACACTAAACAACTGCATGTCGTCCCAAGAAAAACCTCGTCTGCTGCTGAATTCCCTTCTTTGTTTAAAAATAAAGATCAGGTGAGAGATTGCAACCTTGACATGGGGCACGCCCGCGCGTGCACCCGCCGGACGGACCAAGGGAGCAGCAGCATGCACACACTGTTTACCCGCATTGTATGTTTATGCTGTCATTCTGAAAAGTATCGGCTACTCTTCTCTTTTTCTTGGTAGCTGGGCATGCCAATTGGTAACATGTTTGATGTCACCCTGATCGACATGTTGCCCCGTTGGGTTTTGTTGTTATTTATATCCGTGAGCTTTTTTTTGCATCCGTGTCACAGGATTGGTTGGATAGCGCAGCATAGACGCACCGATGTTGATGGGCAGATCGCTGGAAAGTCTCGGATCCGGCGCCGAAAGGGAACGAACCCCCCCAAACCCCATTGACCACCCAAGCCTGTGTACCACTAACTTGTTTTTTTACCTACGTACCTACATACCTATCGCTGATCGACAGAGGTGGGGTTTCTTCGGCATGCGACGCGGTGACCGCCCCTGGATTCTCTCCTTCACTCATGACTCAGGACTGCACCGGGGCTCTCTACGATAGTATATTTCAAAAGTTTATCTCATAGTCCGAGCTCCCAGCACAGTATGCAAATACCCCCTGTATATCCACCACACCCTTCCTCCATTACACAATAGGGCTATTCTATAAATCTAGTGACTGCTTTACGTCTAGCTGGTGGTCTGGGATATTATTTTTAGTGATGCTAATACCGTCGCCGTATTTTGCAATTATCTGCTTACGGTAATTAGCCTATTAATTAACTAATTCCTCTTTAGAACCGTATAATGGCTATATGCCCTTTTTATATTTATTTCCCCCTTTAAGATATATTATTTATGCTATATTTCCCCGGATTTTATCCACGTATTTAGCCAGCTTAGTTTATGGCCACGATTCCCACGTTTTCTCCTACTCCTCCTTTATTTTAGCTTTGCCTTTATATTTATTAATTTATTTTATAATAATTTTTATAGGAAATTATGGCCTTTTAGCGGCTAATATATCCGGGGAGTTAAAAGGCCAAAAAAGCATATTAATGCCGGCTTTTTCTTACTCGGCGCGGCATTATTGCGATATATAAGCTAAAGTATTATTTTTTTAAGCTAAAATCTTAACATATAAGAATAGCGCCTTAAGCTATTATACGAAAAGGATAAAATGCTTTTTAAAAACCTCCTCCCGGTACCGGATTTAATCGAACCCGCCTTTACCTTTACGTTTTTAAACTCCGTTTTCCGACGTAAATTTAAAAATTAGCCGCCTTCTTGGTCCAAGGTCTTTTGAGTTGATTGATACTGTCCCTTTATTGACTCTTTTTCGGTCATCTAGAAACTTCGCAACGGCGATATTGTGAAAATTTTCCTCGGTGGGTATAACACTGGCAATTACCTATTCGATAGCATGAAAGGCCCAGGGAACATGGCCGGACATTAGCTAGCAATAATATAAGCGAAGTTTTCCCACCCTTTCTCCCTATCTATCAATCAATCAATACCTACCTGCTGACCTAACCACTTGAACTGCCGCCGCCGCCGCCGCCGCCGCTGCTACTACTACTTCTGGGACCCGACGACGGCGTCCGCCGAACACCTCGAAAACTTTTCCCCTGGTTCGTGGTCTCTTCCTGTGCTGCGTTACGCCGGCCGCCCTGTGACACGGTCGAATTGCAGCAAACATGCCCAAATCACGTCTACGGCTGGCCCGAAAGATACAGCCTACAATGACACATAATATCCACAGCTCTAGGAATTTTCCATATCTTTTTGGGTCCAGCGATTCGCTTCACCGTCACGTAAGCAGCCGACGTTAGTGACTGTAGAGTAGAGAAAAAAGAATTTAAACACTCTCTTGCCAGAACCGCGCTCATGTGCCTAGACTCTGCTTAATCTGTCTCGAACCTTACCTACACATTGTGCCTCCCCTTGTCACGAGCTACTTTACTATACTGATCTTTTGTGTTATCTGAAAAACGGTCAACATAATAACGAATCAGTATACAAATTTCAATTTCCCCAACTCACGAGTCTCCACCACGGGAAAAGAAAGAAGAAAAAAGAAAAGCTCGTTGATTAGTAGTTCACAATGTGCAAGACGCCAATGCACGAGTTCCTGGCTGCTCTGCCGAAATGCGAGCACCACTTGCACATTGAGGGCACGTTCGAGCCCGAGCTGCTCTTTGAGCTGGCGGCCAAGAACAACATTACGCTGCCGGCCGACAAGGATGCGGCCTTTGCCTCGATCGAGGCCCTCAAGGCCCGGTACCTGACGTTTGCCAACCTCGACGACTTCTTGGGCTACTACTACATTGCCATGTCGGCGCTGATTGACGCGGCCGACTTTGAGGCCCTCGCCTATGCCTACTTCAAGAAGGCCGCGTCGCAAAACGTCCGCCACGCCGAGGTCTTTTTCGACGCCCAGGTGCACACGGAGCGCGGCGTCGCCTTTGAGACGGTGGTCTCTGGTCTCAAGGCCGCCAAGGCCCGCGCCGAGCGCGACTTTGACCTGACGGTCGAGCTCATCATGTGCCTGGTCAAGCACCTGCCGCTGCCCAGCGCCATGGAGACTTTTGCCCACGCCCGCGACGGCGGCTTCTTTGCCGACGGCACCCTGCTGGCCATTGGCATGGACTCGTCCGAGAAGCCGTTCCCGCCAAACATGTGGACCGAGCTGTACGACGCCGCGCGGGCCGCGGGCATCCGCCGCACCATGCACGCCGGCGAGGAAGGGCCCTCGGACTACGTGGTGCAGTCGCTGGACCTGCTGGGCGCGCAGCGCATCGACCACGGCCTGAGGACCTTCGAGGACCCGGCCCTGGTCAAGCGCGTCGTCGACGAGAAGATCATGCTGACGACGTGCCCCCTGTCCAACCTGAAGCTGCAGTGCATCTCGTCCATGTCCGAGTTCCCCCTGCGCCAGCTGCTCGACGCCGGCGTGCGCTTCAGCGTCAACAGCGACGACCCGGCCTACTTTGGCGGTTACATTCTCGAAAACTACTGGGTCCTGCAGGACACGTTTGGCCTGACCGTTGCCGAGTGGGAGGGTATCGCCCGTGGCGCCGTCCTCGGCAGCTGGTGTAGCGAGGAGAGGAGGGCGCAGCTGCTGGCGCAGATTGATGCCGTCATGGCAGAGTGGAGCGGCAAGCTGTAAAAAGATACAAACCCCCTAGCGAGCGAGGGAATTCAGAGAAAGAGAGAGAGAGAAAAGGGGGGGTGGATGAACTATACGCGCGTCAGCAATGCTGTGCAAAATAAAATAATAATAGAAATCACGATACCTTAGTAGAGGGGACCAAAAAAATACGAACAACAAGGGCAAGGAGATAGACAGAAAAAAAATGAATAAAATCATGATGCTATTTTTCTTGGTGTTTAGTTTTTTCCGCCTTACCCCCCCTTCCCACCCCTTGCACAAACCGTTTGGCTCGGCTACGGCCCGCCGCGTAATACTCTGAAACGCCTCGTTTCGTAGGCCCATGATTCCACCTTCCACGTTTGGATTGCCTATTGTGGCACTGCACGCCGAAGGAAAAAAAAAAAAAAGACTCTTGGGATTGTTGCTGCTCCTCTCTTTGTTTGCTTCTCCACCCCCTTAACCATAATATATAATAGTATATTGCCGATTGGGTCGTTTACGTATAAGAAACGAATCCCAGGTCAGCCCACCCCTGTTCGGATTATACTATACTCATCTATAGGGGGACATGCGTCATCTTTTCTTCCTCCCTCCCTCCCTCTGGGGCACATCTTGAGAGCCCACGCCCATGAGGCGCCAAAAACATCGTGATGCAGGCTCGGCTATAATCAGTGGGCGGGCTAAAGCGACATGGAATCTTACGATACCTCGATTGATGGGACGCGTGGAGACCTTGCTTAGCAGTATTTTGAATTCTCCCAGGATCTTGTTGCTTGCGTTCCACCTGAGGCCTCCCCTGGGGGTTCCCCCCTCCCCTTCCGCTGGATTTTGACTATAGCCGATGGCTGTAGGAATAACTTCAAGAAGAGTATGCATATCGCCCTTTTCACCATGTTTCAGGTCAACCATGGCTCTCTACTATAAAAAGTTTAAAGTGCAAAATAGCCTCCGGGGCGATGACGACAAGGCCTATATTCCCCTGAATTAGGACTTCTTGTCCGTAGTGCGATGGGTAGGATACATGCAAGTAAATGGCTCGCTTGTTCTTTCGACGAGATAAGCCAAGACTTTGGTTCTTCAAGGTCATGGTTCCATTGGCTTGTCAGAAAGCGCCCTCAATCAGGGGTGTACTACCCCGATGTTGAAAGATGCGTGATTATTTTGTACATGGACATCCATGTTATACATGAGACTGTTGACAAAGTATCTGGCTTTTCGTGTAAAATCGAGAAACGTTGATACTGAAGGGTCACCAACAAGGCCAAGTCGTTCTTGTGCCAGAAGGATGTCTTTGGTGGTGGATCGATGGGTAAAAATATTGGCGTAGATACCTGAAAGCTGAGCCTATCTCGAGCCATTGATATAGCCGTTGTCGTTGCAACTCGAGTTTATGGCAAGGTCGTTCAATGCTCAAGTCTATTGGATACACAGTTTATAGATTTCCACGCTTGCTATTGGTCTCGTTTTATCCCTGGGTACGCTTATTAAGACATGTATTCTGTTTCACTTGTCACGGAAACTCATTCTTGAGAGCAATTGCTACCTAATAAACAGATGTGAAACTTTATTCATTCATGTTTCGAGATATAGTAATTAGATGATTTGATACTGAGCAGAAGAGCAGGACCATTGACGGTTTCTACATTCAGTCCAAGACCCATTTATGAATTTAAAATTTAGACAATACCTTCCATGCAAGTGAATCGAAATACATCGTGATCTCTGAGTCTCAAGGAGTGTCCTCGTGTTTTTACTTTATTTGTTTATGTAGACCCTATCATTTTCCAGCCTTATGACTACATCTTGCGAAAGTGCTTCTCAATAGTATCGCCCTGATTATTTTGATACTGGTCTTTCCTTTTGTTCCTCTGTTTATAGTACCTGAGAAGATACCCCCAAGGCCATTGATGAGACCTTCTAGCAGACGGCGTGAGTCTTGCCGTGCTTACCCTGGATGGAGTGCTTCTCATTCTGTTTGAGTAGTCAGCAAGCCGATTCCCTACTGAAAGTATATACGTTACGGCATAAAAGACGAGTGAGCTCACCTTGTAGTTCTTGTGGTTGTGGCTAGCCTGTGCGCTGTTCACAGAGTGCTTGCGGAGGAATTCCTGGTGCTTCTTGATGGATTCCTTGTCCATGCTCTCCAACAACTCGGTGCAAAGCTTGATGTCGACAATAAGGGCATCGCAGCGGTTCTTGGTAAAGTCCTCTCGGACCACCACGCGCAGCATCTTCAATTTCTCAGTGTGAGGTGCCATGGTGTAGGCAGGGACAACCCAACCGCGGGCACGCAGCTTATGCGCGAGCGCGAATTCGTCCCACTCGCGGTCCTCGTTGGGCTTGAGCCGGAATGCCACGAGGGGCAGACCCTCGCCCGACTTCTTGGACATGATGATGAAGCCCATGGCCTCTAGGGCCTCGGAGAGGTAGTCTGCTGTCCGGGTCAAGTTGCTCATGATGGAGCGGTATCCTCTCTTTCCAAGGCGGATCAGCTGGTAGTATTGACCAATGACTTGACTGGCACCCTTGGAAAAGTTGAGGGTGAATGACGACTGGTCAGCTCCGAGGTAGTTGATGTTGAAGACCAGCTCCTGAGGGAGGTACTCGGCAGCACGCCAGACCACCCAACCGACACCAGGGTAGACAAGACCATACTATGCAAATGTCAGTAATGCTCATGGTTCATCGAAGCGTTCCCACGACAAACCTTGTGACCAGATACGTTGATAGACACAACCTTCTCGAGCCGGAAATCCCACTCGAGGTCTGGCACAACGAAGGGTGCCACAAATCCACCTGGCAATCATTAGCTACGTTCTCACGCAATAGAAATATCAATACCAACTTACCACTGGCAGCATCGACGTGAATAGGGCAGTCGATGCCTCTCTCCACCAGAAGATCGTTTACAGCCTTGACATCTTCGTATTCACCAGTGTATGTTGTTCCTGCGCAATTGTCAGTTTATTGAGAGAACCTCATACTTGGCGATATTATGGACATAATAACGCAAACGCGCTGGCCTCATATTTCGAAAGAGTCTCACGTACCCAGAATGGCACAAATACCAATAGTGTTCTCGTCAACCAGGCTGACAGTCTCCTCGGGGTCAATCACGTAGCGCTCGGGTGTGCAGTAGACGAGCTTCTCGTCAATCTCAAAGTAGCGCGTCGCCTTCTCCCAGCAGACCTGGACGGCAGAGGACATGACAATGTTGGGATGCTCAGTCGACTTGCCCTCGGCGCGTCTCTTCTTCTGCCAGCGGCGCTTCATGGCCAGCACGCCCAGCATGATGGCCTCGGAGCTACCAATACATGATGTACCGACGGCGCCCTCGCTCTCGCTGTGGGTGGGCGCATTGAAGAGGCGTCCAATCATGGAGACGCAGCGGTTCTGAATGTCTGCCGACACGGGATACTCTTCATAGTCGATGAAGTTCTTTGAAAAGGAGTCGCTCATGAGCTTCTCAGCCTCCTCTTCCTATTGGAACTGTTAGCTTGCTAATGTACCTCTACACGCTTCCTCGAGCCTCTTATGATGACAAAGAGAAACAACGATTAGTCACGCCCCTGCATGAGACAGCGGGGTTCCACCACCATGGCATGCGCTCAAGGAGTAAGCGTAAGCATCCAAGGCTTGAAAGTCTCATGGTTCTGGAGAGAGAGGATTTGTTTGCATGTTTGCGCCATATACAACGTACCATGTAAGTCGTTACAAACGAGGCCAAGCTAGTTTCATGATCGTGGTCAGCATGTTCTCACCCACAAAATCAAACAGACACGATGTCCTGGTTTGGAGGCTACGATTGACTCACTTTAGCATGGGGTTGCCATCCAAGCTCAGCTCGTCCTTGATCATGCGGTACGCGACATCCTTGGGCATCTCACCGTCGGGCATCTCGTGGCGGGGCAGATCCTGAGCGGCAAACTTTGAACCGTACACGCTGGTGGTGAACTGGTCCTCCTCGTTGGCGAGCTTGAGCGTCACCTTTCTGACGGCCTCGGGAAGCTTGTTGATCTCCTCATCATTGGGAATGGAAGCGAGATGAACCATTTTGATTGGATTTTATTGCAAGTGCAAATGACGAAGCACACAACACAGGTTTATCTTCAAAAGTTCGTGTGAACGGTTTATGCTATTGCAGCTCAAGATAGAGGAGTGGCTGAGAAGACGAGGAAATATTAATATGACGGGGCGTTTCTCGGAGGTTAGAGAGTTGAATAATACCTTGGCAATGGGCTGTAGATGGTTCGACCAGGGAGGACAGATGCAGCTGTGCTGGCAGTGATGTTGATTGCGGGGTAGAAACAACAAAGTGGGCAGTGAACGAGGAGGTTTAGGGAAGAGGGACGTCAAGACTTTGGGTCTTGGCGGGCTTTATAATAAGATGCTACTTACAAACGAAAGTAACAAGTACCTTTTGATGGGTGAATGCTGTTAATTGGTCCCCTTTTTTGTTCAATTGATGATTCAGATTACAAGGAATGGCCAAGGAAGAGGGCCGCAAGTACATAACAGGTCAGGAAAAAAGTGCTCACTCAAGCAACAGGTAAAAGTGAATAGTAGGTACCTACATTACCTAGCCCAGTCGAGAAGCTCCCTCCCCCACTCCCCTGACGGAAAGCTTCTTCTCTGTTTTCTCTGCCAGTCAACAACTCACAAGTCGTCCTAGTAAAGAGGAGACAAAGCCAACTGCAGCAGGCTTTAGCTCAGGTCTGTCTCCTTCTCCGTTGGAGGCCTGGTTGGCTGCAAATGGCATTAGAGGAACCAGGCTGTGTTTGTTGTTCCCACGTTTAAAGGTCGCATAGCTCATCATTCGTACATCAACAACGGAGCATTCGGGGCTCGATAGTCGACTCCATAAACTCTCCACTCCCAGACAGGTGCAGAGACTACGTGGGGCTTTCTGCTTTGCCATGTTGTGCTGGATTTTTCGTCGTTGAGACACGGCAAATATATTTCTCGTTGTCCATGGCCATGAGTAGCTCAATGGACTGGGGGCTCTGGTCTGATTCTGGTGCCTGATTGTATTCCAAGCATGGCAATTTGGTGTTACAGGGAAATTCTCCAAACACGCGACTCTGATACCATTCGTTTCTTTCTGGTATTCCAATCAGAGAGTAAATGTTCATCTATGGAGTTACACGGAATAATGTGTGCGTGTGTATGGAGCAGAGGGGCATTGGCAAAAAAGCTTGGCATTTTTCGATGTGCGGCAGGGGCCGATAACACTGCACTAAAACCCAGCTAGCGAGTGCACAGGGGGGCCAGTAGGTGAGCTGGGCGCGCTGGCTGGCACCACTTGCACCAATCGCTCAATGCACCGAGCCGATCGTTGCTATGGCTAGGAGTACGTAGCATTTCCATTGATCAATTTCCAAGCTCTGTCTCGAATGTGCGGTCTAAAGTTCCTGTTTTCTACCATCTGAGATCGAGATTTGCATTGTTCCTGTTTTTCTATCTGGCGTTTCATGTCTTGGGCCTTTCTAGTGGACGTTGTGACGGTGGTTTACCAGAATGGCCGGAATATGCTACGTGGTAGCCCAGGTTTCAAGCTGTGCGCATGTTAATGACTAGTGACATCATCGGTAGTTGTCATCCCGGATTTTGGGCCGTCAATGAATGTAGGTATTGGCTGGCAGGCTTCGTGATTATTTGCACCATGGCGTGTCGAAACCGGACTTGAGAATCAATCCTGGGAAAGTTTAATGTCTTCTCCAGCTCTGTTTGGATTCTGCTCAGCCAGTCGAGAGCAGTCCAACAAGGTGCAGACGTGGTTTGTTTTCACGCAGGAATGTGGGCAGCGGGACCAAACGCGAGTGACACGCATTTTCTCGTCGTATCTCTGCCTCAACATTGGCCTGCAGCTGTCCCGAATCGAGCCAGTCTTGCAGATCGGGGCCAAATGCCTGACCTGAATCCTGATGCAATCCCGTTTTCCACGAGCTTCGTGGTGGAGTCATTCGAAGGAGTCGAGGATGGCTGGAATCCGGATGGTTCCTGACTGTTATATCCACAAAATGGAGCCTGCGGTGTTAAGTCGGCATTGTCCGCGGCTTTTTCCATGGCTCACCTTGACGAACCACGGACTTAAATAGATGCCGATTTTGGATGCCAAGACACCTGGAACAATCCTACGAGATGTATGTTGATCGACCTGAGCTTTGAGGGAGCTGTTTGTAAGTCACATGATATCGAATATATAGATCAATGCATATGAGAATCAACCCAAACTACTGTCCAAAAAAGCGTCATATTTGATAACCCAGTTGGTAGTCTGCTACTTGCATGATACTATGTACGTAACAAGAATCCCGGGGATTATCTAGTAGTTAGTGTATTCTTTAATCATCCTCATCACGCACGCCCGTGAGGGAGCCTGCCAACCCTTGCATCCGCCGACCCAGCAGATCATCCGTGCTCTTGAGCTTGATGATGCTCTTGGACTTGCCATTGAGACGGGCGCGGCCGTTTGCCCGCTTCCTCCGGGACAGCCCGTCGGATTCTTGCGCTTCCTCCGCCGTGTCCGACTGTGGCATCTCCTTGGCCATCTTTTCATCGCTGCTAGTCCGCCCGCCGCGCGCTGCTGCTCCCCTGGTCATGTTGATCTCCAGCGGCCTGTCCTCGTCACCGCTCGACTCCACCCGCCGGTGGTGTCGGTTCGCCCTCTGCTCGTATTCCCGCCTGTCCCGCATCTCTGCCGCGTTCAGCAGGTCCACGGCCCACATGGCACAGCGATCGATGAGCTTCCATGCCGGTGGGTACAGCGTGGGAAACTGGGTGAAACCGTGGCTGATGCCCGGAATGAGCACAACCTCTGCGACATCTTTTTCGTCAAAGTCTGAGATGTCGTCGAGAACCCCCAAGTGCTGAGATGTGCGTTGCGAGAAATACGCCTGCTTGGCCTTGCGCAGCCGCCCAGCAAAGATGACAGTATCATCTACCAGAGGATCCCTCTCGCCAGTGAGAAAATGCGTCTTTGGAAATTGCTGAAGCAGAATATCCGGAGCCAGAATCGGCGACAGCAAATAGTCCTGAGAAAAGTCTGGACGATTGTGAGGCCCAACATAGAGGATAATCATGGCGCGCATCATCTCAGGCGTTAGGACGCGGTCGTTGAAATACGATATCATGGACGACATCGCAAGTCGTGTCTGCAATGGCGGCTGAGGCTTGTGCGAGTTGGATCTGCTGTTCCGTCTCTGAGAGATGGGCGAAACGGCCGGCGATTGCGGCCATGTTTGGGGGTGAGCATGAGAGTACTCCGGGTGAGGGCTGCGCAAAGCCTCGTCCGTCGGCGCACGAGTAATCTCTGCGGGTTTCGCAGCTCCAGTATCCATCGAGGGGGTGTCGCCCTCATCTTCGGATTCATGAGGGGTTCCGGCCACGTCAGTATACTGCCTGCTCTTCCTTCGAAGGTAGTTCTTGTTTGTCCCGCGCATCCGGCGATCCTTGACCAATGCCATTTGTTCGTCAGACATCCAATTGCCAATATTCATATCGAGCCCTGGATACAAGAGAACCAAACCATCAGGTATGGGCAGTTCGACTGATCCAGATCGTTTGTGACTCATGTTATGCTCGATTATCATGAGCGTGAGGGCTGTTGCCAGATTGCCACCGGCGCTATCACCTGTGAGCACAATTTTGGGAACCCGTCTGCCAGACATGCCGATACAGCGGCCTTTGCTCTTGACGATACTGGTGTAGACATCGAAACACTCGTTGAGAGCATAGGGGTATGGAAACTCGGGTGCTTTCTTGTAGTCCAGACTGAGGACTGGCAGTCCGGTTTTGCCTGACCATGCAAACAGCTTGTCGTCGTTGCATCTAGGATCCATGGCCACAAAACCACCGCCTGGGATGTCGAGTATCATCTTGTTGATATGCTCGAGATCGGCAATAGGCCCATCATAGTACAGCCATCCCGACACAACCTCATTGTAATCGCTGGAACTTGGCCGCGGGATTCGTATAGCCCTTGGGGGCCACCGGGTGAATCGCGGCCGCACGAGGCCTTGAAGAAACTGCAAATATGGCGTCGTGCCCTTATTCCAGCTCACACGCAAGTGTTCCACCGTCAGCATACCTCTGACCTTGCGAACCTTTTCGTCGGCCTGTTCCGCAGCCACCATGTAGAATACCGAGAAGACTAGACTTGCAATGTCCCGGAGCCACTTGTACTTGATCTTCATGGCAGTCCAATATCCGGCGTCGAGGGCTGTCAGTACCCAAGTCGCACGGAAATATTTCTTGTCGTACATGTTCGACATGGGCTCGGGGCTCGCCAGTCCGACCAGGGTGCTAAAGTTCCTTGCTGCATACAGGTACATCATGGTGAAGAGCACCGTCTGCCACGCTGTGAGCTTTTTGGACGACAATTTCGAGAACAGGCGGATGATTGGAGGTCCATGGCGATCGCCTCTAGATAATGATCAGTCAGCACGGGTCTGGTGGCGATAATGACAATGAATAGAGTTTCTTACTTGAATATATAGACGGACCAGAATGCCAGCACGGCGAGGACCTGAAACCTCCGTGACTTGACGGACGGCCTCCCCAATACATGGTCTATCATGATGATATCTAGCGATGCAAGTCTAGGAACAATGCACAAGGAAAAGACGAACAGAAAAAATAAAGGAAAGAAAATAGAGCCTAGAAAAAGACGAAAAGACTTGGCTGGAATCAAAATTGGGCCGAACGGCGAATATACTTTGTCGTTTGGGGATCACGAGCCTGTAGCATGATTCCCGGAGTTACCGAGTCAGTCTAGCGGGCATAACATGAGACGGAAGCAGCAGAGTATTCGGCACGCAGCGTATGTGTTTGTGTGTGTGAGAGTGAGAGAGAGAGGTAGCGTTGCCACGAGCTTAATACTCGGGTCTTTCCTTGCAAGAGGTATATCTTCAGACGACGGCAATGAACATGGGATGGGATGCAGCCCTGATGAAGAAGAAGAAGAAGAAATGTGCGAGAACCCCTAAAGAAGATCTATCTATTGCTGCCAGGTTTCATTGCAGATTCTCGTGGAACTGCGCCCCCATTTTCAACTGAACAGTGAGCTGCTGACCGACCCGGGACCCGAAAAGCTCATTGCGGGATTGTCTGGGGTGTTCGAGCCTGGGTAGGGGTACTACCAGAAAAAAGTCATTGGAATGCCGTTGATGGCCGCTGCTTGCTGACGTTTGCGGACCATTTCGCGGCTGACATGTGAAAGTCCCAAGACATTGAGTCGATCCATCATCCCACTTAAGACCCCAAGCCACGCACCCACCCCTCGCCCACATGTGACCATCCCGCGTCCAACCAACCCCGTGGGAACGGACTCGGCCTTTTAAGGGACTGACCCCACAAACATTTCAACAGGTCGATGTGACCTTGTTAGTTGTTCTGCCTACATTACACAGTAGACAAACTTGCGAGGACAGGGCACTTGTCAATTCTTTCATGCTTCTTCTTCTGTAACTTGACGCATCACATAAGCACTGATGATGCATACACATTTACAGCTGTGCCTGCGAATCACAAGACACTGATGCGACCCCGCCAACATTGATGCTTCAGTCTGGCATTTCATTGGACCTGAGAGACAAAGTGGTGTTCAGCTACTGTTGGCTGTATCATGGACTTGTGATAGCTGCATTTTTGGCTGCGCTGGCTGAATTGCATCCTCACGTACATACAGGCTATTTACTGTCCGTCGCCGTGCTGGAAACGGGCCGGATCAGCGCAAAAGATTCAGGTACCTCGGGTCACGGAACTTGGCGTTAGATCGGGGGGAAGAGAATCCCCACTCAGCAACAAGAAGGTAATAGCTTGTAAGGGTCAGGGGCAGAGTGAAAAGGAAAAGTGAAAGGTGCCAAGGTTGATACTATTCCATCGTCCGGTTGCTGAAGCTTCTTCTGACTGACTGATGAGCCACTCTGGAAATAGTTTCTTTGTCTCTCTCTCTCTGCTGGCGTACCTATCTAACCTTAGGGGACCGATACCCCTCCAAACCATAAGTGTTAGCGGACGCTAGACACTCGTCCCATTACATTAGTGACAAGTTTCCCTAAATGGGCAATACTGATGACAGACTTTTTGGGTTTTGGACACAGCAATCACTTATATTGACTAAGGTATACCTTCAAATTCTCCATAATGCTTTGTCAGATATAGTCATTTATTTCGAGATATGAATCTATCATTGGCTGGCACAACCTGTTTCTGTCGCCCTGTTGTCAAATGAGTCTTTTGTGCATTGCCGACGTCGGCGGCGGCCTCCCTTATCGATAAAGCTAGTGTGGGTGTGTCATGAGATTTTCTGAGCACTTTTAAGCATCTATTTGTTATTGGGGGGACCCCGTCTGCATTGATGATTTCGGTCTTGTCGTCGACGCTTTCTTGTTACACTCATTGCGGCTTCAACTTCAAGGACAATGGCTTTCCGACTACCTGTGCGAAGGGCAGTTGCCTCTGGACGACGATACCTGTCGTCTGCGCAATCTGCAGCTGCGGCCTCTAACCTCTCCCACGAGGCCCAGCAGTCCATTGCCCGCGATGCCGCCCTGCCGAACCCGGATCCGACCGAGGACTCGGCCAGCGCTGCCATGGTCAAGGAGCACCAAAAGTACATGCTCGCCACCTACGCCCGTCCGCCGCCAGTGTTTGTCAAGGGTGATGGTTCGTACCTGTACGATCTCGAGAACCGCAAATACCTCGACTTCACTTCCGGCATTGCAGTCAATGGACTCGGCCACTGCGACCCGGGCATGGCCAACATCATTGCGGATCAGGTTAGTCGATTTTACCATTGTTCCAAGAACTTGTAACCCATGGCAATCCCTCCACGAAGACAGCTTTGGACAATCATTATACTCTAGAAAGTGAACTTGATGACTGACTAGCGCAACAGGCCAAGACATTGTGGCATGCTTCAAACTTGTACTATAACCCATGGACCGGTGCCCTCTCGCAGCTTTTGGTTGAGAAGACCCTCGAGTCGGGGGCTATGCATGATGCCTCGACAGTCTTTGTGTGCAACTCGGGTTCCGAGGCCAACGAGGCCGCCATCAAGTTCTCTCGCAAGACTGGAAAGGTGCTCGACCCGTCTGGAGCCAAGCATGAGATTGTGTCTTTCCACCAATCCTTCCACGGCCGAACCATGGGTAGCTTGTCGGCCACTCCCAACCCCAAGTACCAGGAGCCCTTCTCTCCCATGTTGCCCGGCTTCAAGTATGGCACGTACAATGATGTTGCTGCCATCAACGAGCTCGTCACTGAAAAGACATGCGGTGTCATCATCGAGCCCATCCAGGGCGAGGGTGGTGTCAATGTTGCTACCGATGATTTCCTGATTGCCCTTGCCAAGCGGTGCCGTGAGGTTGGTGCAGTCCTTGTCTACGACGAGATCCAGTGCGGCATGTCCCGAACTGGTAGCTTCTGGGCCCACGGCCATCTGCCCAAGGAAGCCCACCCCGATATCATCACGACCGCCAAGGCCCTTGGTAACGGTTTCCCCATTGGTGCCACCATTGTCAACAACAATGTCAGCGAGAAGATCAAGATTGGCGACCACGGTACTACTTTTGGTGGCAACCCGATGGCCTGCCGACTGGCGCACTATGTGGTGTCACGCTTGGCGGACCCCGAGCTCCAGAAGGGCGTCGCCGACAAGTCTGTCGCCCTGAAGAAGCGATTCGATCAGCTCCGGGAGCGATTCCCCGACCTCATCAGCGAAGTCAGGGGCAAGGGTCTTATCCTGGGCCTGCAGCTCTCGCAAGATCCGACGCCCATCATCAAGGCCGCTCGTGAGAGAGGGCTGTTGATCATCTCGGCCGGCACCAACACTCTGCGTTTCGTGCCACCTTTGACCATTACTGCCGAAGAAATTGAGTCCGGACTGAACATCCTGGAACAGGCCATTGAATCGACCCGATAGATTTGTTGTGGGCATGCTGTATTTATTGCAAGCACTCGGTGTTTGGCGTTATAAAAATTACTTGTTTATGTATTTGATCTAGAGGAATGCAGACCATTGCGTCGCCATCCAATTCTCCTGGACGGCTGTCTGACTTGGCCTCGATTCAACAGGCAAGGGAAGATGATCACATCCGATAAAAATCCAGTCGCTCTACATGCCATGGTAGATGCTGAAATGGACCATGATATCGCAAAGAGTTTGATGTATATGGGAAATAATCATTAAATATAGAGGAACAACGAATTGAACAACAATCGCATCAAGCGAGAGTATATGGTATCTGTAGCCCGCCCCATGTGATCGACCAGCGTGTTGGGTGGGGTAATCATGCTCCCATGCACACCATTATAGAAAAAGTGTCTGCTTATACTTGACTTATTCATCAAGCCGCTGCAGATGCAACGAATGAGGCTGCCGTGTCGGCATCACGGCCATAGGTCAGATGTGGTGCCAGAATCAAGTCGCCATGTGCGCAGATATTGTCGCCCGTGTGACAAATGACCTTTGTGTTTGCACTCGAAACGCCCTGGACTGCGTCACCGTTGTCTGTTGTGAGGACATCATGGTCAGTCACATCGAGTTCGTGTGTTCCATCTTGGCCAAGCCCAAGATGTGATTGAGGGATGAAGAGGAGAATACATACTCGGATCACCAAAGATGACGGCGGCCGCAACTTTGGAAGTGGTGGAAGCCGGCAACATCTTTGCAGCATTATGCACGAGTTGGCCGCCTTGCGAGTATCCGGCCATAACAACCTTTGTATCGGGACACTGAGTCATGGCTTGGGTGACGAGTTGCGCCCTGTGGCTTGTGTTAGTCAGGCTGTCCAGGATGTCGCATGCCTGCAAAAACAGGGCAAGGAGAGAGTGAGAGATAAAAAGAAAGGCGGAGACTGACATTTTGGCGCTTCCTCCCTTGTCACCACCGGCGAGAAAACCGGGGACATCGGCGGGATACTGCACGCCCTGCACAGCGATATCACCTCCCATCTTGTCCGACAGCGACTGGAAAAAGGGCGGGCCGGCGACGGAGCCCACGTTGCCCAGCTCGGTGGTGCCCCGGGCGAAGATGACCGTCATGCCCTTGCACGACCCCGAGAGGCCATTTTGTGTCACGCCGGCCAGGCTCTGGCGCTTGTCGACGGGCGATGCCAGGACGGTGGTGGCTGGGGAGACGGCGAGGGCCCAGAGAAGAAGAAATGCAGAGATTAGGGATTGCATCCTGGCAATCTGTCCTTGTAAGTGATATATCAATTACTGTCGATGAAAATTACGAGGCGGGAATAGTATAGGCACGAGACTTCATAACGTAGAACCAGGGTGATTGACTAGACATGGTAGTCTTTATATCCTCAGCAAAATCACGATGATGTTGTTGGTAATGGCTATTGCGGCAGCACGGGACAGTATTCTTGCTTCTTGGCGTCGTGAGTCGAAACCAGAAACTCATACAGATCGCGACTTGTTCCCGAATAGGCAATGCCCCATCCCCTTTCGGTATACGACCACTGCCACGACGTGCTGGGATATGTGAGGCTCGAATTGCACTTGACATGGCCTTGCGCATATTATTGTACCTCGGCTGTCAAAATCTCCCCCACTGTTTAGACGTTCCGCCGTGTTATAAACTGGCAGAGGGAGGAAGATCGAAAACGCCAAGCCGATTTGAAATTTGGAAAGAACCACTAGAACACCAGAGAAGCACCTTGGGCAGAAGAAATGATATACTATATTGCCAAGTCTTCGGACGAGACTTCAATGAGAGAAATGCTGAAATGCGATTGGTCGCTTTGGGCGGGTGTTGATGGGGAATATCTGAAACGTGCTGCACGGTGGCTGAGGCCCGATCGCATCAAAAGTCTGCCCACGTTCGTCGCAGCAGCACGGGGAAAAAGAGATGAGTAAGCAAGCACATCTTCTTTGCAGGTAATCGGGTTTGATCTCGTCCGATGCGAGCTGTCAGGATTTCTTCGACGGTCGAAATGCCGGGACGGTCAACTTGGTCGTACGCCTTGTCAGATTTGTCCTACCTACCAGCTGGACTGATGTTTGGCAAGCTGCCAGTCTCGTGTCATGGCTCGTAAACAAGGACATTTTAGGTAAAACCTTGCCCAACAGAGGAACCGTGTCTGGTTTCATGGAACATTCTTTTCACTTCAAATCCCTCCTGTGCCGAGGCTTCACCACGACATTCTTACTGGCAACCCGAAAAAGTGCGAATGCGAGATTGTGCGAATCCGCGCCAGAATTTTCGAGAAGAACACATCTCATTCAGATCACGGTGGAATGAATCTCTCATATGGTCTCATCGGATGTATTCAAATGACCAATCGCAGAAAACATTATCCGCTACCGCTGCCATGACACCTTTTTTGCAGACTTCATCCACTCAGCGTCTTCCATGTTCCTGCACCTAAAAGGATAACTCTTTGTTGATCCCGAAGAATATTCCTACCACTCTTCCAGATGTTGCTATTCGCCGCAATTTCAGTCCTGGCCCTGACTCATGCACCAGTCAAGATATCATCGCTGGCCTTCTCGGCAAGCATCATTGTAGGACAAACGGGAAACGCGCCAGGCACCTTGGGAAAAGCACTTGCATCCACGACCCTGAGATTCTTGATGCCGTGGACTCTAAACTTGCTGTCCAGGACCGCCATCCTATCCGACGCGGGCCCAATGGCGCACGTACTCGTGGGGTGATGACTGTGGGCCTGCAGTTTCAGCGTCTCCTTGATCTGTGCGTCGCTGCAGTTTTGATTCACGCCGGGACACGGGTGCAGCTCGTCAAAGGGGGCAATATCGGGCCCCGGGGCCGCGCCAAAGGCTCGGCGGAACACCTTGACCGCGTCCAGCATCTCCTGCAGGTCGGCGTCCTCGCCGTGCTCAAAGAAGCGCAGGTTGATCTCGGGCATGTCGGTCGGGTCGGCAGAGCGGAGCCGCACGTAGCCCGCCTGGGACCTGGGGTTCATGTGCACAAGGGCGCACTCGTACTCGGCCGGTCCGTAATCCCGGGGAAAGTATGGCCAAAAGCCCTCAAAGGACAGCTCGCCGCACCAGCCGTGGATGTTGCGGTGGCCCGTGGACGACGTTGGCGTCTTGAGCAGAACGGCCATTGGCGGCGGCGCGGCGCCCTCGAACGGCTTGTTGGCGAGGCCAAGGACATAACCTTCGTAGTTGTCGTCCAGGTTCTCGCCCACGCCAGGTAGGTCCTTGACAATGGGGATGTTGAACTTCTTCAGCTCGTCCGCGGGGCCAATACCGGATAGCTTGAGCAGCTGTGGCGAGTTGAAGGCACCGCCCGCGATAATGACCTCTTTCCTGGCGTATACTTGCTGAGTGATGCCCTTGGCTGTTGCATTGTGCCGCGGATCCGCACTATATTGCGACTTGCCCCTCAGAAGCTCAACGCCAATCGCAGCAGGGTTGGCAGTGTCATTGTTGAAGATGATTTTGGTCACAAGGCTGTCTACCTGAACCGTCAGTGGATACTTGGCTGCATCAGCAAGAGTTGCCTTGATGTAAGTATTCGTTCCAATACGATTTCCCTGGGTGTCCATATGTAAGGCCAGACTAAAGATGCCAACGTCCTGGTCTCTGTCAGGATCCAACGCATTGACATCTCGAACTGCCAATTCCGGGAGTTTTGCTGAATCACCACCAGTGGCCTTTGCGATTTGCTCTGCCATGGTTCTGAAACCGTTGGTGCCATTGACAAACCCATAATCACCGATCGAGGTCTGAAGCCAGCCTTCGAAACCATGGCCAGGCGTGTCCTTTGGAAGATATGTATTATTTTCCATTTTCACAAAATATTTGCGCATATTTTCTGCCTTCCAACTCTGGTCACCAGTAATATTGACAATGTAATTCCAATCATCATCAGCGGGGAGCGCACAAATGCCACCATTATCTGCAATTCTGTTTGTAAGCCCCTGTTTCTCCATGGTATATGGTCAACACTCACGCATGGCACATCCACCGAGAGTTCCTGCTCGTGGATACCATATACCCAGCTGCGTCGAGCCAGCCGGAGGATCTAGTCCGGTATAAAAGTCGCCATCTGGCCGACGCCATACCATGTGTTCGTATTTGAGCTCCCTCTCTGGATCTTCTGAATGCTTGGAAAAAAAGTCCCATCGAGTCTTCTCATCGCTTGCGGCAGGGAGAAAATTACCAATCAGAGATATGTTGGGGTTGTTTCCCTGATCGTCTCCTGCCTCGAGCAGGATGACCGAGTGTCCGGCTCGGGCGAGATTTGCTGCCAGAGGTGCACCTCCTGGCCCCGAGCCCACGACGACATAGTCATAGCTGGTGGCGTTCTGGGCAGCCACTCCAGCAGCGAGGAGGAGGGCTGTTGTCAATTGACGAAGCATGGCTATTTGACTCCAAGGCTCGTATCAAAGACAAAGAAGGCAAGCCAACATGCTTGATATCATCCGCTTTCCAAGGTTGTGGGACCGCCGTCATATTTATGAATACAGCGCCATCAGAGAATCACCCCTCATCATGGTATTGGAACATCATGTCATGGCCAGCCAGCCCTCCACTTATTGGCTGCATATATGGGGAGGTCTTTAGAGTATCAATGTCTCCTCGGCAAGCCATCAAAGACCGAGTCGCACGGCAGCAAAACTGCAGCTGGAGCAACAGGAGCTCCGCGGCGCCTGTCGTGTAGTCTGTATGGATAAAAGCAAGCATCGATTCGAATATGTGCTGCAGGCCAAATATGTTTTTCCAAGGTTGCGAACATGACCGACTTCCAGATGGCTAAATAGCAACCAACCAAAAAGGAGAATGCTATTATGGCACCGTGGTAGCGTGAAATGGCCTATGCAAGGCAATTCGGGAAACACAAATGGCGGTATTCAGCAGTCCCGGCTAAGACGGGTCTCGTGTGTACCCTCTGTTGACACTATATATTGAAGGTGGTATTGACCAGGGTGTACTCCGCATCATGGTCCTTTCGAGCTCTTGGAGACTTGGGAGACTACTACTGCTGATCGAATGTGACAGGGGAATATTGGGCATAATGCTTTCCAGAGGAATGGATGCTTGAATGTTGTTTGGATTGATTCAGCAAGATATGAGATTCATAACAAGAAGTGAAGCAAATTATACAATTGCATGCGACGTTTCCAACACGGAACGCAATTACATACTGGCATTGTCGACCATCTCCAGTTTCTGTGTGAATCACCTGCGCACGCCGCCATTTACAGTGCCGCTTCCTGAACGGGTTTTCCCTGGCCCCTGGAAATTGTTTCTAGGGGCTTTCAGGGTGCCAAGCAGCAACCCACAGGATTTTCAGAGCAATGCAGCAGCAGAGGCAAGATGAACACTATACTTGAAATCAAACCATTCGCATTGGTAGTGTGGTGCACGCTTTTGCATTTCTAGTCTGCCCATCAAGCGAATCCTATTGCCCTGATATCTCTAGGTATGGTAAATAGATGATTGTATTCATCACGTACCCATGCCGTTGGACAAGCCACTCAACCACTATCTCACACAGCCACTGTGTAACACACCTGCATCAGTGGCTGAACACACGGCACAGTGGAAGCTGCTAGAGCTTCACAGAGGATTCTAATGATACAACCCCTTCGTGTGGGTTAGGAATGCAGTGAAGGTCCTTACATCTGCAGGAGCTTTGAAGACTGGAAGAGGTGGGTCATCCGAGCATGGCACCTCGCGCTTCGAATTTGGATGACCATTGCCTGGTTACAAACTTCCAATGGAGTAAAAGACTTTATTCTTCGACAACGAATATTTGCCATGGAAGACCTAGGCCCGCCGAACAACCCTCCACAGAATAAGCGAAGCCGGCCCTTCGATTTCAATTCCGACCATGATGCCCCACGAGCAGATCCCAAACGCCGTTCGGTGATGACGGATATTCGTACACATAATGGTACAATCAAAACATCCATCGGAGATGGGGAAAAAACATCTGTTGGACCATTGTCCCCGGAGGTGACTCACCAATATGAACAAAAGTCAATCATCAATCGAGGAAGTTTTGGCATCGTCACCCATGTTGTCCACATCAGCGACAGGTCAAAGGAATATGCTTGTAGACAGCTTCCTCTGGCTAAAGTCGCGCCGGACATAATCAAGAAAGAGGTGGAACTAATTCGAAAAGCCCAACATCAACACGTTGTACGTATAATCGACGAATATATGGATCCTAAAAAGAAGTGGTACCGTATAGTCATGGATCCAGCTGCAGACGGAGATCTCGAGGAGTATCTGAGGGATCATTCTCACCAGCCAAGAGACAGTGCAGATTGGCAGAAGTTCGGTGCTCTCAGATTGCAGTTGGTCGAATGGATGTTTTGCCTGGCGACAGCGATCAATCACATACACAAGTTGGGCATACGTCATCGCGATATCAAACCAGAGAACATCCTCGTCCATGGCACGAACATCCTTCTCACCGATTTTGGAACATCATTTCACTCGGAACGGGATACGAGATACACTTCCACTTCAACCCCAGGAACCAAACGATACATTCCACCAGAGGCAGCGGGTAACATCCGCTTCGGTCGAAGTGGTGATATCTTCTCTCTTGGTTGCGTATTTTGGGAGATGGCCGAGGCTATTCTGACCCCAGTCCTTGGCCAGCAAAGATTCCCTCGCATAGACAGCTCCTATTCCGCCTCCATTACGAGTGGCGGCAATTCGCTCCGAGGACTTATTGGCACCCGGGAGAACTTGATCTTGAAGAAACGTGTCCCGGAGCGGTCCAGATTCTCTGATGACTTCATGGATGATTTATTGTGTCTCATCGGTACAATGGTTTTACCGGCACGGCCTAACAGGCCCTGCGCCTCACAAGTGCGTCACACGTTGTCATTGTTGTTACGAGTATCCTGCAAAACCGATCTACCCACCTGCTGTCGTCACACTCCCATGCAATGTGACCTTGGTGGGCTGGATCGAACCGAGAGTGATGAAGCTGCTGTGATTGCCTCTTTGATCCTCAAGTTCATCGGTGAGCAAGGACTAAAGGAGCCGATCAGTGAATGGGAGTACACCAAATTTGTGTCACTGGAAACGAGATTGCGATCAAAGCACAGCAATCCTCGCCTCTTATCGGAACATATTCAGCAGTACCCTTTATCGCAAATAAGTGTGAGAGGAGTAGTACAGATGGCTGAAATACTATTCAGTTTTCTTATGGTTGAAGATTCGTGGATGATAGATGACTTTGATATTGAAATCCTAGTTGTTCAAGGAGTAAAAGGGTGGTTGGACTTGCAACTAGAACGAATGGAAACCGAGCAAGCCCTTGGAAAACATACCGATGATGAAACTCAGGTTGTTTCGTAAACTAAAAGCACGTACACAATGTGGTTTTATTCATGTGTTGAGTTGAATCAAAATACATGGACTTATGACAAAGGCTGTTTATACAAATCAGACCAAGATTCGCCGGAGATGAAAGCCTTTGTTTTTCTTGAAACAAAGAAAAAGAAAAAGAAAAGAAAAGGCCGCCTCTCTTGCTAGGGAATTTCGCATGCCAAATGCCATCTGTAATATGCCATCACTACTCTCTAGTAGCTCAAAATTCTCTCTCTTGGTAATATTGGACGGGACTATTTCCACAGAACGAGTAAGATGAATGAGCAGAGATAGGCTTGAAAGCGCCCAACACGTGAGTACCAAGGATCAGAAAAGTATGAATTAGCATCTATAGATTTGTGTCTCTCTGTCTCTGCGACCACCATGCATATCGCTGATCTCTTCTGTACCCATCCATATACGTAGGTGTTTATCAATGCTTGGCCACGCTGCCCCAAGGCTCAGTATCCATGGCACTATACCTTGGCGCATCAACTCGCAACATGGATGGCCGAAGCGGGTAATGTAGTGCTGAGCACAAGGTACGTCAGATATGAGCCTTGAGGATGAAGCTCAAGGAAATTCAAGTAGTCATTGGTAATCAACTGAGCAATTCTCCGGTGGCTGAATTCGTGGATCTTTTGGCTGTTGCTGCTCGCTAAAAGTACACCCCCGGACCCTGTCCGAGTTTGCGGGGCCCAGCCAAAAATTTGGGGGTCGCTGGTATCGATAAGCGCGATAAGATTGAAATTTTGGGAATTCCTGCACCCGCGACTGTTTCGAATGTTTTCAGGCGGTCCCGTTCCTCTTTGCCCATCAACAACGTCAATTTTCCACCAGAAGTCGCCATGGGTAAAAGGAAAGTCGCAGCGCTCGAAAAGGTCGAGGCCGATTTGGCTGGTCTCCAATACAAAATCAGGCGCGACCCCTTGGCCTACGAGAAAGAGTTCTTGGACCACTTTCGCCAATATGGTTCATCGCTGGACCAGTTCATGGCCGCACCCCTCAGCAGCGATTCTGGCGCCCTCATCTCTTTCCGAGAACAGATTGACCTCATCGCCCATGTCGCAGACCTCTACCCAGAGCACACTGCCGGTTTTGCCGACGAGCTCAAGGAAATCATCACCAAACACCATGCCATCCTAGAACCCGAACTTCGCGAAAAGGTTGTGAGCTCCCTTGTGCTCCTGAGGAGGAAGGAAGTCGTCGACTCGAGCTATCTCCTGACCACGCTCTTCCCCATTCTGACAACGACACCGAGCAAGAGTCTGCGCTCCCTCCTCTTCACCAAGATTGTCAGCGACCTGCGGTCCTCCAACACCAAGACGGTCAACCACAAATTGAACCGTACAATGCAGACGGTCCTCTATAACCTCGTCACCTCCGATCCCTCCTCACCCAAGGCCCTCTGGGCAGTCAAGCTCACCAGAGAAATGTGGAAGAGACAGCTATGGACAGACGCCAAGCCAGTCGACGTGATGAGACAAGCCTGCCTTGCGGACAACGAAAAGGTCGTAGTTGGTGCGGTCCGCTTCTTCCTCGGCGGTGATAAGGAGCGCGAAGAGATGGAAGATGACGAAAGCGAGGACGAGAACATTGACATTAGAAAGGTCAAGCATCAGATCGGCATCAACAAGAAAACAAAGAAGAAGGCCAAGGCTCTGGAGAAGGCCGTGGACAAGGTGAAGCGACAGGAGCGCAAGAAGCATGCCCCGCATCCCTTGAACTTTTCGGCACTCCATCTGCTTCACGATCCCCAGGGATTCGCAGAGATTCTGTTCCAGAAGCACCTACAAGGCTCCAAAGTCAAGTTGTCGCTTGAGTCGAAGCTACTCGTCCTACAACTGGTGACGCGTCTCGTTGGTCTTCACAAGCTTACAGTGATCGAACTCTACTCTTGGTTTATCAAATACCTCACACCAAAGCAACAATCAGCAACCTCTTTCCTTGCCTCGTTGGCACAGGCTACGCATGACCATATCCCGCCAGATGTTCTGGAGCCTCTCATTGAAAAGATCGCCAACGAGTTTGTTTCAGAGGCTGCCGCTGCAGAAGTATGCTCGGCTGGTATCAATTCGATCCGAGAGATATGCGCGAGACAACCCCTGGCAATGGGAGACTCTCTCCTGCAGGACTTGGTGCAGTACCGCAAGTCCAAGGATAAGGGTGTCTCCATGGCTGCCAGAGGTTTGCTGTCATTGTACCGTGAAAAGGGCGCGGAACTCCTCGCAAAGAAGGACAGAGGCAAGGATGCAACCATGGGATTGAAGAGTGGTGATCAAAAGCAACGCAAGTTTGGTGAAGAGGCAGTTGGTGAAATTGAGGGTCTAGAACTGCTAGAAAAATGGAAGGAGGAGGAGAGGAAGAGGAAGCGGGCAGAAAAGGGCCTGCCCGAAGATGCAGATGGGGATGAGAACGATGAAGAAGAGGAGCAAGATGACTGGGAGGTTGCTTCAATGGACAGCGATAGCTCTGGCGAATGGATACGCGTCAGCGATTCCGAGGATGAGGACGAGCCGATACCCAAGAAGCAGAAGAAGAGCGACGAAGACGAGGAAGCTGAGGACAAGGATGCAGAGGAAGAGATCAAGACTCTTTCCAAGCTTGCTACAACGTCTATTCTCACACCTGCCGATCTCGCCAAGCTCCGCGAATTGCGCATGGAAGCCAACATAGATCAGGCCATGGGCAATCGCAAACGCAAACAGCAGGAGGCTCAGCAACGGCACATTGATGAAGGTCTGACTGCTGAGCAGATCGAGGCACCCGCCAAACTCCGAAAGACTACCAAGGAGGAACGAGTAGCCATGGCCAAGGAGGGCAAGCCTGAGCGCGAGGAGCACAAGTCTACACAAGCCATCCGCAAGTCCAAGAAGGAGGCCGAGGGCAAGTCGACAACCAACAAGGAGAAGGCTCGCAAGAAGAACTTCCTCATGACCTTGAGCAAGGCTAAGAACAAGAACCGGCGAAGCTTGACACAAACGAGAAACATTCTCAAGGCACACATTGAGCGGAGCAAGTCTGGTGGTAGAAGACGTAATGGTGTAAGCAAATGATAGGGTAATCCTGAAATGCTAGCATCGCAAGCGCTTGTCCCAGAGCTTGGAAGAAAGCATATTACAACCATGCCAGTGACCACTTGGGGTCAGCATGAACATTATTGTATTCGCTGGTTCTCCATGATACCCAGGCATTGACTTAGTAGCCACGTTGCTTTGGACAATCAAAAATAATAGATATATTCAGCCGAGAATCAAGACTTGAACCATTCATTTAATCATATTGGGCGCAAGGTAGCAGGGGAGCTTGATGCGGACTGCCCCACGATACGGCCTATGCTGTACACATTCATACAGCTCACCATTATATCTCCCATACAGAGTTCCATTCACCTGTCACTACTCAATAGTAATGCACTTCTGTCATGTCCATCTTATTCTCGCGCTCCAGCTGGGGCATGAGCTCCTTGATCCGCCGGACCATTGCTTTTCCATACGCAGGACCCAGAGGGGGGCTTGGCTTGGTGAGATCAGGACGTAACCACGGCACCGCCTTGGCCCCTTCGTGCTGCTTGACCGCTTGCAACATGGCATCGGTCGCGGAGTCGTCGTATCCTCCCCCGAGGATCACGGCGGCTACTGGCCGGGAGTAGTCCTTGCTGCCCAGCTCTGAATCTGCCGGGACCGATTGCTCTCCCTTGAGGATGGCGGGAATCTGGATAATACCGGACTCGGGAGACATGACAAAGTGGATCACTGCCATGGCACGCAGCAAATGTGCAGACAATTAGTTTATTTCCCACCTTGGATCTCTTGGGGTGTTCAAGTAAATTGATGTGCAGTGCCGCAGTCCTGATCTGACGTACCTTCATACTCGGGCTTGAGATCAGCAACCACGCCGGTGCCAATGGCCTCTGTTCTGCCGCATAAGATGACTGGTACGCCCATTTTAATATGAAGAGTAAACTTTTGTGAGATGAGAGATTCTCGTAGATGATCTTGAAGCAAAAGGTAGAAACGGTTCAAAGGAGCGGACGAGGCGCGGACAAGATGGGTGGGGAACCAGCATAACTCTAAAAGAAAAGGCAACGTTTCGGCTGCATCCGGGTTCTAGAGTTCCAGAGACATGGGTGGTCCAATATTTTATAATCGAAGCTGACATGTCAACTTGTACTTCTCTACTGGCATTTTCAATGCCAATCACTTATTTTATGTTTTGTGTTTGCTTGATTTTGTACAATGCAACTCGTAGACATGTGAGGCGGCTCATGATTGATCAATATCATCACGACACACTTCAGAGTCCGAGACGACGCCTTCAATACCTAGGTCCATGTATCTTTTCATTCCGAAATAGAAACATGAAGAATAAGGCAGGTCTGAAGGATCTAGGTAAGCCTATGCATGCACGCGGCCGATCGTCCCACGTGATATGTACTTGGTATGCAGCAACCAAAAGGCCTGTGATACAATCACGAGGCATGTATCAAGAATGCGTTCACCAATGGTAATATATTGACTAGATGCAAGCCGGGGGCGCTCCTTGCAATTCATAGCACCTCAAGAGACCTACACAAATAGGTTGCTGAATTACAGATGTCTTGATCTGAGCGCTTCTTGTACTTTGTTGAATTACCATTCAATTGAGCTAGATTACACTCCAAATAAGCAATCTATTGCTTTCAATCGCTCCGTGGGTATCAGGCAAACTTAAATTGGTCGACTGCTTTCGAAATCAAACGATAGCTTCTACCCAACCCTATCCATATAGACCTTGCGATCCCATGGCGTTCCGCGAACCTTTTCCCTGAGTGAGGGCGATCCCACCTGAGGCGGCTGAACAATGTGACTTTCAGCTCCTTTTCCAGTATTCGAATTCTGGGTGTGCAATTTGTGGTTGGCAGTGCTCATCTGCTTTGTTGCTTGTGCGCCTTGGCCCCATGCCACATCATCGCGGGATGTGGTCAGGCCGCTCATGCGCGCATGGAGCCATTTGGTGACGCTCTTTGACGGATAGACTCCAAAGCGGGATCGGGTGCGCTCAATGATTTGCAAAGAGTTGAGATTTGGTGCTCGCGAGAGTAATGTCTTGATGAAGTCTATCTGATGGTGCTCGGCAGTAGTGAAGAAAGTCTCCATGGTCCTTGCGCTGCACCTTTAGCTGCCTAAAGATGCTGTGGGGTACCGAGTTGAGATGTGTGCGCAACGAATACAAAAGTAAATGATCGCGAAACTGGGAGCTCAATGATTTTTTTTGATTGAGCTGATTGATGTCAAATTGAGGGATGAGGAATTTTTGAAGCTCCACTGTCAACTACAAAAAGGGCAAGGGCCAGTGATTCACAGTCGCAGCCAATGAAGTCACCTTTAAATGGAATGCGTGAATGTTGCATGAAATTTTATGGAACAAAGATTCAGAAAAACAGCCGGCAGTCTTTATTCTCCATATCTTTGACTGATAGTCTAGTGCTACTAAAAGAATCAAATGGGTGGCCTAGCACACTTGTCATTGAGAATGAGAGACCTGCAGGCCTACTATTTATTGATTGTCCATTAGGGTATTGCAATCGCTCAAGTGATGATTTCACTATTCGCATTTCGAACAGCGTCACCACTTGTATCCATAATTTGGGAGCCAGAATCTCCATCTGGTCCTTGGCTGAAAGTCAGCTTCGGAGGAAGCAGCTCGGGTTGCTTGCTGAGCAAGCTTCTTCGCCTGTTTTGTTCTTGCCTGTGCTAATTTGTGATCCTGTTCACGGCAAGCCACACAGCTCTTGTGTATACTGCGTTGCCTGTCGATAAAATGCCATAGTTGCAATTGACGCCTGCACGTGCTGCATGCTCTGAAATTATTGTCCTTCAGAAGCATGATTATGGTGATCTGTACTTGGCGGTTTTCCCGTGGCCAGCGAATAATTAGAGAAATGCGACAGAAACAATCGTTCTTGTGAGATCAGGTCATGTACAAGTGAGTTTACGAGGACGAACCAGCAAAAGCAAACAGGGAATATCGATGATAAGTACTGGATAACTATGACTGTAAAGCCAAGTAAGTGCATTGTCTGTTGTTGTCAATGAGGCCATACAAAGTAGCTTTGTCAAGAGGACAAGCACGAGACCAGTAGATAGCTATTGTCTTTGATGGTCTGGGCTTATTGAACCTGCCCACAATAGGAAGTTGAATTGATCTAATCTATGAGGGCATGAACTGGAAGAGTAAAGCCGGGCGGCAGTATTCCTGCAGCGGCGGCGGGCTTGGGCGGTGAATAGTATATACTATTGTGCTGCAGTGGGGCACCGCCGGATCGAGCAATATTATTGGACTAGCGCGTTGTTATAGTGATTATAGTCACTTCCCATCACCGTTTGCCATTTGAGCAAGTGCGCAGTTGTTGCCTAGGCCGCCAGCTGCAGACTCTAATCAGTAGTTTCTGTTTTCACTCTATAAATAATACCTGTTTGTTGTGACCTGACAACACTTTTTCACATTCAACACAACCCCAACCTCATTCATTTGACCTCAATCACAAGATCCTCCAAGTTCTCTTCAGTACCCAAAGTCACACGCTCACATCCCTCGACGACGACAACCATGATTGCTTTGCGCAATATGATCGCCTTCTTGGTCGCCGCCGTCCTTTGTGTAGACGTCGGCGTCTTCGCCCATCCCGGCGAGGATATTGAGCTTGTCAACCACGAGGCTGCCATTCACAAGGCCACCCTCAAGGTTGCTCATGCTGCCATCTCTCGCTGCGACGACGCCCCTGCCGCTCTGGCCCTCAAGAAGAATGCCATCTTTCGCCGCTATGGATTGGCTGATGCCCTGCAGTACGAGAATTCTCTTGGTCGCACTGATGGTAAGCAAAGACTCGATGGAAACTAGTGATTTCTTTGGCTGATGGACATGAACTTTCAGATTTTCTCGATGAGCGCGACGAGAAGGACCTGAAGAAGTGGGAGGCTCTCTCCCACGACGATACCTCGAAGGACTGGAACGCTGGCACCCCCGAGTCTGTCATTTTTGGCAGCAACGCTACCACTGCTCTGACTCCAGAGTCCATCTTGGGCCCTTACTTTGTCTCTGGCGAACTCTTCCGCAAGGACATTACCGAGGGACAGGACGGTGTCCCGTTGCATTTGGATCTCCAGTTTGTGAACCAGAATACCTACGAGCCCATCCCTGACATGCTTGTCGACATCTGGTAAGTTCTCTATTTATCATTAAATTACGTTCTTTCCATTCGCTTTCTCAGAATATTCTCTCGGAAAGTTCTCTCGCAATGTCTTCTTTTATTACCATCTTTCATTACCTTCTCACATTGCTTTCTCACATTGCTTCCTCACATTGTTTTCTCGCAATTTTCTCTCGCAATGCTCTCTCTTCACATTCTCTCTACACATTCTGTTTACACATTCACTGCCTTTCTTTTTTTTCATACTTCTTTCCATCACCATCAATTACGTAAGCCTAACCGCGTTCATTAAACAGGCACTCCAACGCCACTGGCGTCTATTCAGGCATCGCCCAGGGCGCCGGCCAGGCCGGTCTCAACACCACCTTTCTGCGCGGCGTCGCCAAGACAGACACCGAAGGCGTCGTCCAGTTCGACACCATCTACCCGGGCCACTATGGCGGCCGCTCCAACCACATTCACATTCTGACCATCGAGGGCGGTATCATGTTGCCCAACAAGACCTACACGGGCGGCCGCGCCAACCACGTCGGCCAGCTGTACTTTAACCAGGCCCTTAATGACGCCGTCGAGAATTTTGCACCCTACAACTCCAACAAGCAGCAGTACACGACCAACCAGAACGACGGCTTTGCCAAGGATGCCGCCTCGGCCCAGTATGACCCCTTCATGTCCTACATTCGTCTGGGCTCGGGTCCTGGCGATGGTCTGTTGGCTTACATCACTGTCGGCGTTAATCAGGACGCCAATTATGATGCCAAGCCCGCTGCTCACTGGGGCCACGATGGTGGTCACGAGTGTCACAATGACAACTGCAACTAAGCAGTGAGCATCTTCACAGCAATCAGATGCTCTAAAAATGAGCGTGGTGCAATTAGGAAGGACAAAAACAGTGTGAGAGACATACAAACACATGAGTCCAGCACCCGTATGTAGCCTTGCGGGAGATCGCAGAGATTCTCACCGACATAGAGGGCAAATAAATTCATGACCATAACTCCCCAAACTATTCTCTCGAGTGACAAACATATACATGCATGATTGGGTGGCAGAAAAGTATTAGAGGATAAAAAGTGACTCTCTATTGTTGATTTCGCTAGTCTAACGCAAGGGCAGCAAATTAATCAATCATTCAATTTGTTGAACTCGTACAGGAGTGTTCCTTTCACATGCTTCGCAATCCTTCGACTCGCTACCTAGTATAAAAAACACTTGCCCAGCTCTTCAGTCCAATCATTGAATATCATAATGCCACATTATTGACCAACACCTGAGCTTAGTGTGCTTCAATAAGCATACTATCATCGACAATGACATTAGCCTCAGAGGCCTGCGAGCCGTAGAGCTCCAAATCCATACTCCAGTTGCTCGATGTCGCGGTGGATTTCGGGGCATCGGTCACTGTGACAGTGGCCTTGACCCTCATGGTCTCCGTCTCGGTAACGGTTTCAATTTTCAAAGTTGCCGTCTCTGTGACTGTCTCGACCACTTTGACGGTTGTCTTCTGCGTGACCATGCTTTGGAAAACAGGAGACACGACTGGCGGTTCTATCTCTTGGGGCTCGGGTGCAGGAAGGGCCATGGGAGTTGCGCGTGGCTCGGCAACGCTCAAAGTTTCCACAGACTCAATACCCTCAGACGTGATGGCTGACAAAGTAGCAATGCTTTCAACACCAATTTCGTAGCTCATGACTGGTTCCAATGCAGAAGGCACTTCCTGTACAGCTAGGACCTCCTCCGTGATGGGAACCTCCTGCAACTCGACTGCACTTTTGTTTTCGAAAACCACCGCATCCGTGTGAGTGTTTTGTGGAGAACGCAACGCCATTAATAGAACCAGGAGGCTTAGTCCAATAATGAAGAGATTCCTTGTGTCTTGCATGATGACCCTCGCAGATTGAATCAGCAAATCGCCAAAAGAAGCAGACTGGAGAGCTTGTCGTCGAGCTTCGCGCCGCTCATAGGCTTCTTCAGAGGGCGATCGCTGCGATGGTGGCGGGATATAGGAGTCGGGATGTGGCTGATAGGCTGTGTCATGCTCTGGTGACATCTCTGGAGCTGGTGTCTGTCTGTAGATCTCGCGCAGAAGTTCTTCCTCCAAATAGCGACGCTCCTCAGCACTAGACTGATCGGCCATGGGAGTCTCAGGGCTGGGCGGGGCTATCTCCAGTTGCGCGTGGATGAGATCAGGCTGCTGTTCATAGGAGCGATCCATCTGCTCGTCAATCTGTTCTTCGATGCAGTGAGCCAGGTTCGTCGCAAGTTCAATCTGTTGATGAGAGGCAGCTTCACGCTCTTGTTGGGCAGCCAAAAGTCGCTCCAACTCTTCACTGACGCCGGGCTCAAGAATAGGTTCGATTTCAACATCCACTCGTTCCATCTCCTTCCAGCAAGCATCCCAAGCGCCGGCCTTCATGAGTCCGTTACTAGCATAGACCTTGACACGGAAGATCTTGCCAGGGTAGAGAGCATCATAGGCGATTTCGTTATTGCATGTCTTGCACCAGTGTCGCTGCGTAGGGCGCTGTGTAACTTCATACTCGTCCTCGCTTTCAGAGTCATCGACGATGGCAGTTTCATTTGCTGGTCCGAGATAGTGCCCGCATTCAAGGATTCGGGCACGACGCCGCACAGGCAAATCAAGCGCCTCAAGCAGGCGTTCCTCGAGTATCTCATAGTCATTTTGCGGATGACCGAGAAGAATACCCCTCTCGCAGACGGTGTCACCCATGCGGTCTTGAAGCATACGCCATGCTTCGCGGAGTGTTTTTGCCTGCTCACTCATGTCTTCAGCATCAAAGCTGTTGATGATATCACCCCACATCCACCGGAGAGGCAGCAGCGTGACATGGAGCAAAACAAGAGGCGCCTCCTTGACCTTGAAACGGGATGGTGTTCTGTTCTTGGGAGAATACTGAGCCGAGTTTGATGGGCTGCCAAGACGAGACACTGTAGGAAACGGACGCTTGGCCGGGCGTGGAGAGCCAATGACTGAGCCAAAGACTGAAGGAGGTGGCGAGGACATTTGCATGGCGCGGACATCTGAAGGACTGCGGAAAGGTGGTCTGGGATTTCCGCGTATGGTTGGCACGAAGTCGTCTCCTTTGTAGTCATACTGAGAGATGTCGGACATGCGGGGACTTCGTGTTGTAGTGGACACTCCATCAACAATAGTCGTATCCTTGCCAGATTCGGATCCTCCATCGTAAGATCCCATGGAACTCCTTGCGCTCTTTTCACTAAAAATGTCCTCCTCTGTGCCGTGCTGAGAGCTGCTATCCCCGCCCTCCTCAGTAGTAGTCGGCATCTCGGGTGCTTGTGTCTGTTCCTCCTCGTGATTCTCCGTCATGGACAAATGGCTAGGCTCATGTTGTTCTTCCGAAATATCTGTATGAGTGCTCACGACTGAGTCATGTCCTAGCTCCTGTTGATCGTCTTCTTCCTCGTTTCGAGGAGTGCCAAGAGCAGCAACAATGTCTCGCGCAGCTTGTTGAATGAGTGCCTCGGTGCGTCCCGAGGTCCGCCGAGATGAGCCTCCTCTGTGTGAGGTCCGGTCGTCTTGGAGGTTGGAGTCATCGAGTATAGAAAGATCTTGCTCCTCATCCTCGTCCTCGTCCTCGTCCTGGCTCTCGCCGTCGCTTTCTATGCTGGGGAGAACGGATTCTTCCTCTGGCTGAGCTTCAGTCTCGTAATGGGATTCTTCGTCTTCGTCTTCCTCCTCTTCAACGACTGACTCGTCGACGTAGCTTTGTTCCTGGTCTGCCTCGAAATCGTTATCGTGGCTTAGAATGGACCTGTCGACACTTTCGTTGTTCATGTCGTGGCTTTCGTCCAGTGCTTCGGACCGCTCTTCATTTGAGCTCATGACGTCGGACACCATACTGGCGTCTGCGGCATGATCAGATTGCGCAGTCACATCCGCCTGCGGCTCGGGAGGAGCGTCGGTGTGCATTTCCTCATGAGCGGGTGCTGCCGCGTCTTCAACGACGTCGAGGTCGCCGGGTTGAGATCTCGTTTCTTCTTCCATTGCTTCGCTCAAGCAAGAGGGATCAACATGAATGTCAAAGTCGTAATTACGTCTGCGTCGGGGCATTGAAAGAGCTTTTGAAATTAAGGCTTGCTGCTGCCGCGACGGAAAGAGTGTGTTTGTTATAGTGATCTCGGGTTGCAATATGTACGTGGCACGGCAGAAACTCTAGCGAACGCAGGCTGAACTTTGATTTGACGGATGCAAATGTTTCCACGCGGAGATGTGTTGGCACACGCAAAATACTGCGGTTTGACTGGCTCTGGTGGCTGGAGTGTGCTGATCGCAAGTTCTGGTTGGCGAGCGGCAGGTTGGGCCGTATTGTTTACTCGCCGTTGCTAGGACAGCAACCGCCGCGGGGAGCTTTGTTAGCTGTTTAGCTACTCGCGTCACACCCCTGGCTATCTTGCTGATCCCCCCAGATTGGGCAGACAACCGAAAACAATTATTGATTGAATGCGAAAGCAGCGAAAAAAATGACTTGTGCATTTGAATCTATTTGGTGTTTTGGGCAGGAATGAAGTTTTTGGTCCCTGGTCTCTCAATCTAAATCATCCATGTGGGCGCAGAGACCGTTTTCCATCATTCTGCTATTGCATCTACTCCTTCAGTGTCTCAGGGGTCTCAGCTACCCAAGAGACATGCGTTTTGACGTCACCTTCATGCCCCAATTGGTGATTCAGCTCTAGGCAAAAAAAGCCGGGGCGACAAATTCATCATGATCTGCAATATAAGGAGACACATCCTAAGGAGAAGTAGTATTTAATGCTATACTTGATTGCAATTATATTACCGAAGTCTGCCATGTTTGTGGGCGTGGAGAAATTGTCGCCTCGTTCCGCCCCCAGAATCCACGCAATGAACCGATCTCCGAGTCCCAGACTGGACCACCCACTCTTTGGGCCCGGGCGCTGCTGGGCGGGCTGTTCAGTATGTTCCAGGCCCCAGACGAGAATGACTTAGCGTCCAATTCCGTTTTCGCACCAACGCTTCAAAGCCTTGACGTCATCTGTCCATCTTGGTCAGAAAAAAATCCCAACGCGCACTTTCAATCTCACTCGATCGAAACCAAGTTTTCCTCTAGATCCATGACCGCGACAGTCTAGATCTCTCGTGCTAGATTAGCCTGCATGAGCGGCGCATGGATCTGGCCATAATGGAGTCAGCCGATTGCGAGTCTCAGCCAATGTCGCAAGAAATCAAGTCTTTGTGCCCCTGAGCAAAGTGCGGCCACTGGTCTATTGGCGTCGCTTCAACCCCCTCTGGCATGCAGTAGGCTGACCGGCGACAAGAGCCCCATGTCCTTGCTGGTGCGCGATGGAAATCTGAAATCCCGCTATGCTATAACGCGCAACTCGACTCGTTCCCGCGGCACGCGAGGCTCACAAATGACTGCTCACACGCGGTGTCTCTGGGATGGCGAAGCAGGGGGGAATATAATACCCATGACAGGTGGAATGCTGCCTGGATCTGGTAATTAATATATAAAGACGGAAGAGGAACAGGCGCCTCAAATGAACACCTAAATTTCTTGTTTTTGAATGTCCATCAAACACCAGTCTTCACTTGTTCTTCACCTTCCTTCTACAAGTCCAAAATCAAGGCCGGTTATTCACAATGGCGGACGAGCAAAAGCCCACGGCGGAGAACATGACGATGCTCCAGGGCTTCGAGGTAAGTAGTTTGACACTTCTTAAACCACATACAATGGCGATCGTTGACACATTTTATAGTGGTATGTCCCGGCAGACCAGAAACATTGGGTACGGCTCGAGAAGAATGTCGCTGAGCTGAAGAAATGGGGCGTCGACAACATCTGGATTCCACCAGCGTAAGAAAATAACATGCAACTATACTTGATGGTTATGAGACCAATCATCTGACTTGAGTGTGTGTATAGTTGCAAAGGCTCCTCCACAAGCGGCAATGGCTACGACATCTATGATTTGTATGATCTGGGTGAGTTCGACCAGAAGGGAGGCGTCGCTACCAAGTGGGGAACCAAGGACGAGCTTTTGAAGCTCGCAGCCACGGCCAAGCACCACAATGTTGGCCTGTACTTTGACGCCGTCTTGAACCACAAGTTTGCTGGGGATCGCAAGGAGAAATGCCAAGCTGTCGAGGTCGACCAGGAAGATCGCAACAAGGAAATCAGCGACCCCTACGAGATTGAGGCGTGGACTGGCTTTCATTTTCCGGGACGCAAAGGCAAATACAGCAAAATGAAGTGGCATTGGTACCATTTCAGCGGTGTCGACTACAATGCCGCTAATGACCAGACTGGCATCTTCAAGATCCTCGGCGATAAGAGCAAAGGCTGGGCAGATGATGGAGACGTCGACAGTGAAAAGGGCAACTAGTAAGGAACACCACTTTGATATACCTCTTTAATTCCCGTTCGATACTGACATTAGCATAGCGATTTCTTGATGGGCTCAGATATCGACTATGACCACCCACAAGTGGTGGAAGATACGCTCAATTGGGGCAAATGGCTCGCCAAGGAGTTGCCTCTCAAAGGCATTCGTTTTGATGCCATCAAGCACTATAGCGAAGAGTTTCTACGCCACTTCATCACCACGATGGACAAGGAATATGGCGAGGGTTGGTTCTTCGTTGGTGAATTCTGGAAGGATTCACTCGACGACATGACGCGATACCTCGACCGCATGCAGAAGAAGTTTTCTCTGTTCGATGCGCCTCTCGTCTACAACTTTAGTGAAATCAGCAAAGGGGACGGCGCCGACCTCAGACAGGTCTTTGACGGTACTCTCGTGTCCGTGATGCCCGTCAATGCTGTCACATTGGTGATGAACCATGACACGCAACCGTATCAAGCTTTGGAGGCACCAGTAGAGGACTGGTTCACGCCACTGGCATATGCCCTTATCCTGCTGCGAGAATCTGGATACCCCTGTATTTGGTACGGTGATTTGTATGGCGTTGACCCCAAGGGCGAACATCCATTCCCTCCGTCATGCAGTGGAGCGCTGCCCAAACTTGCCCTGGCACGCAAGCTATACGCATATGGAAAACAGGCGGATTACTTTGACTTCCCGACTTGTCTTGGATGGGTCCGGTACGGCACGTGGGACCGGCGGTTCGGCTGCGCCACTGTGATCAGCAACGCTGGCCCCGGTGAGAAGCGCATGCACGTTGGCGAGATGCATGCGGGTGAAGTTTGGACTGATGTTCTCGGCTGGTCCGATCGGGAAGTCACCATTGACAACGAAGGTTTTGGTGTATTTGTGTGCGGTGGCACGAGCGTCAGCATCTTCGTAAATCGGGATGCTGAAGGCAGAGAAAAGTTCTCTGAGACATTGTGAGTTCTGCCGAATGCGCCGTGTGAAATCTGACCCGACTAACAAATTTCAGTAATGACAAGATTTACGACGAATAGAGCGCATAGACAGAAAGATCTGCGGATTCAGACTAATGACTGAGACAACCTAGAATAGTAGAATATACCTTTGCTAATAGTACATTTTCAGCCCTTTCCGATAAACGCCAAGGAAACGCCCCCATCCAATGATCCCATATAACATAACACATCACAATATATCGCTTCCGTCACTACCAGTGACAAACCCGCTCGTGCCAGCCATTACATTGTCCGACCCGGTCCGCTAAATTGATGATAGGAATCGCACACGCCGCCACACTCGGCCACCAGACTGACACCATAGTGGCATTTCTTGCACTTGGAGCAATGCCATTCTCGCCAATCTGCGCACTCTCCACAGCCCCGGCAATGCCACGTGCAATCTTCTTGTTCCCATTCTCCCCGTGGCGGTACAGTTGCTTGTTCCCTGCCGCCGCCACGGCAGAGCGAAAAGTAATTTTGACGATACAGGTCGCCAAAGCTTTCATTTTGGAAGAATGCTAGACGCAGAAGCGCCTGTTTCAGTTCACGTTTCCTGGGAAGCTCGTTTGGGTGGTTTTTCACAATGTCCCATTGCTCCCGCCAGCTTTCGTACGCTCCGCACTCCTCACTCTCGTCAATGCAGTTGAAGAGTTTGTCTAGGGTGAGCTGACGAGCCTTGTCTTTCAGCTTCAAAACGTATGAAATGAAACAAGGATGCAGCTTGGGATGACGCTGATCTGTGCCGAACAATTCCTTCAAATCGATCTTATTAAATGGGTTGCTGCAGTTGTCGGAACAGCCACACGTGTTGGGTGAACACTGGTATCCATACTTGCTGCAGGCACAATTTGTGCAGGGCGCCCTGGCCGAGTTACACCTGCAACCAGTATACTTTTCAGGTGGCTCAATTCTCTTCTGTGTGGCGGAGTTAGTCAACAATTCTCAATAAATGGGACATGGCCCGCAGGTTGTGCTCATTACCTCGGTCACTGGTGCACTTTTCTTGTACTTTGGTCCGGCAGAGTCAAGGGCATTGCCATAGTCATTGCCGCTCTCTTCCGAACGTACATCCGAGGCACCATCATCTGTGTCGTGGTAATCACCGCGCAGTTGCTGATGCTCGCGGACCAGCCTCGGTAGTGCCCTCCAAAAGGCTTCCACGAGTTCCCTGTCGGCCTGGAACCTCGCTGGTGAGTGCCTCTCCCGCCAGTGTGCAATCGACGGCTCCCAAGAGTACTGCTCTACCAGCTCTTCTATGAGCATGATGAGCTCTGGCTTCTGCGAGGCCGGGCTCGCGCTCTCTTCTCTTTCGAGCTCGTACCATGCCAGCGCCGCCCGCACTAGGTCGTCGCAATCAAAGTAGAATTCCTCCTCCATCATCCGGAGGATCTCGGTTGCCGATGGCGTCGCCAGCCTCTCCACCGTCATGGAAAAGAGGGTCCTGGCGGCGTCCTCGTCGTTGAGGATTTCCATGGTCTGGCGTCCCGAGGTGGGCCGTCTATCGATACATTCCTGCAGCTTGGTGGCAATGTCGGCCTGAAATTCGATCAAAAACTGCCTGGCCTCCATGCTGATCATGAATGAATACTCTGCAAATGTCGTCGTGTCGGCAAGATGATGATGATGGTGGCGATGGCCATGGTGACTGTCGACCCAGTCGGCGACTAGCACAGAGGCTCGCCTTTTTGAAGAGGATTCTTGTGCACTGGCCATTGCCGCTGCTGCCGACCGTTTGGTCCCAGCCATGTGTGACGCTCTTACAAATTGCTGATCACTCATGATTTTGTCTTTCCGCGTTTCATAGAATTCATAAAGTGCAAAAGTATATATCAAATTATGGTTTGGTTGGCAAATAGTAAAAGCAAAACAAAAAAAAAAGTCCACGACCCAAAAAATTTGCAGGCATCAAACTTTTCATCAATTGGGAAAGAGGAAAATCGCTTCTGTTCATGCAGCGTGAGCATTGACCACTAACTTAAAAAAGAGGGAAAAAAAAATTTAGTCTCCGGGCAACTCCTCACGCACTAAGTTGAAGCGGTCGCAAGGTGGTCCCTGTTTTTATCATCAATGGCTTTTTTACTGTGTACAATTCGAGGCGAGAAAGTATACGAATCAAAGGTTGCCTTGGTCAATGCCTATAGAGATCCTCTATAATAATCCTTTATGGTTATCATACCAAGGAAGTTTGCAATCTCCAATTTCACAGCTCGTTTGTGGCCGGATTAGTCGGTGGTAGCCAAATCCGTACTAGCGTGAGCACTACCTTGGACCCTGGGTTCTATTTAGATAACCAAGGCAAGTATAATTTTCCTATCTCGACCTCAACCAAAGGAAAGGAGGAGCAAGCAAAATAATGGAGATATTTTCTAAATTATAGTATATATTCCATGCCTATAAATCAACATGCTGATCAGGAAGTATCCATCAATCGTGGGTCGCAAAAGCCATCGCCAATTGAATCTGGCAGCGTCCACAGAAACCAACTGATCAGAGTTTTCTGGCACATGGGAGAAACTCGACGCCTCTATCGGCAAACTATCATAGGGCTGGCTTTACATTGAGTCAATGGACCAACTCTTTCTCTTTTCAATTGATTATAGAATTCATATACTTGCACGACCCTGTAATCAATCTCTATATTCAACTGACTGATTCCTAGATTGGTGGCAAATCATGCTGACCACGGATTCCGTGCAACGCGAGCCAGTGAAGCATCCATATTCCTCTGATCCTTTCCAGCTGTCAAGGTTGACCATCTGACATGGGGATATGAAAGATTGTGCGTGATTATACATCAGTCCGTGCCGAAAGGATATACTGGAAATCAATGTAGATCAATGACTACGACAATGGCTTTCTCATGATGAGGATACTAATGCTGCGAAAGTTATACATATAATGAGCATCAAAGACCGAGTAAATCTCATGGCGTGAAGCTTCCAGACCACGAAAATTATATCAAGGTCTCTTTGATTCTAGAATTAACCATGACGTCTTTGGTCCATTTCCTGTTGCACTCGAGAAAAGACATCCTTTCGCGTAAGAGCGTAGGCATGTTCGTCCTGTCGGTCCCGGATCTTGACGAGTGAGTCTTGGAAAACCTGCCGAGAATTCTGCATCAAATGCCAGATTCGCAGCTCTACTTGTAGACTCTTGCAAAGTATCATCATATAATGATAACGATGTCTGTTATGCAAGGTTACATTCTTTTACCCTGGGAGCTGATTTCTTGGCCATGGCCATCTCGCATGATATTCGGTTGCAATAGTATCAGGATATCGCCAACGATAAAGCACATGTTAACTGATATCGTATACCACGGATTTTCTGTATGATTATAAGAGGTATTCCAATGGCATGATTATGGTAATCCCACAATGATATGAACCAGCATCGGTGTAGGATTCCAAGCAGAATTTACACCAATGACTGTCTACCCCTACAACGATGTTCAAACAAATAGACTATGCAGCAGGAAAGAAACTGACGCCGCAGCATGATGTTCCACCAGGGGAGTCTCAAGACTTTATTTCTAGGAATCCCCAAGGGACGAGTGACTCCATAAGCCTGACGATGGACAATCTCTGCGTCTGGCAGTTGACCATGCAAGTACACCCTTACCTTGATGCCGGAGCAGTCAGACGATTGCTAGAAGGAAACAAGTTCAGGGGAAATCAGGTCATGCTTGCATGATGCTATCGCTCTTCAAAACTCAAGCAATGGTGCAACGTAGTATCTCGTTAACTTATCGTGCCACTCGCCTATAGTCGATAATGATTGGGATCGCAATCCAGCAGACTATGGGTGTCCTACTCGAAGCCCGTAGGGAGAAGAAAAAGGGCCGAGGACTGAGTCGAGTGTTCATGGCCAGGGGCAGCACTGCGAGCGTTGAGTCATTGTTCTTGCAAGACTGGATCAAAACTGATTGTTGGTATCTTCCCACAAATCCTCTCAGTCTTCATGTGACCTATACATTAATTTTTGCGTACAATTTCCTTTGAGCGTGTGGGTTTAGACCTTCTGGGCCACTTGGTTCTAGTGCTTTCTAATAACACGACTATCGACAGCAACACCTCTGCTGTTCAGTGGATTTGATAATGTGAACAGACAAATATGGTCACGGCAAAGCTCGAGCCTCATCATACTACTTCTCATGACTGTTGCACTCAAGCGTATTACTCGAATAGGCAATGGCGAGCTGATTCGGCCCGCAGCGCCTTGAACAACGTACCGAGTGCTTACTCATGATTCGCTCAAACGCAATTCAATAGAATCAATGCCAATAGAATCAATGCCAAATACTCAGTTGGTGGGCACCTATCATCAGTCCGGGACCCGATCCAGATACCATGACCCAACGGGGAGCAGCCTCAAGAAACCCAAAAGCCTCGACCACCCCAGAGTCCGGTCATTTCCGGCCCGTTGCAAGGCCAACGGCCAGCAACCATCGGTGAACTCGGTGAAGCTCATTGAGTACTTTTGCGGTCGGGCAAGTGGGTGGGGGAGAAAGTCTATCCCGTAGCTAGGCAGTAAGAACATCGAGGCGGGCTCTTTGCTACTATTATCTACTGGAGGGAAGCCCACGGCCGTTGCTACCGATGATCGTCGGGAACAGGCAGAGAATGAATGCAGCGATTGCTAGTAGTGGACTGGTGCGAATATTGGCCCAATCTTGGAGTTTCTTGGCACTAATAAGCTTACTGTAAAACGTCACAAGCCACCATAACATGCACATTTGAAGGATCAATAGACTGCAACCATTTCGACATTGCTAATAAGGGCATTAATGTATTGCCTTGGTTCAAAAGTATCCTTTGCGATTCAATAGCTCCCGATCGGCGTAGTTAGACACCGACTGGCCGTTTGGGTTGCCATGCCGCAAAATACTACCGCCGGTACTTTACTTGGTGGGCTGATGATGATCATTAGATTTTTTTTCCCCTTTGCAAAATAGCGTCGTGAGACAAGCATTTGTCCGTAGGCTTGGCTGCCAGTGCTTGGTAAATATTCTCCTTCTTTCCAAAAGACGCTTTGCCACAAAGAAACACGACATGCAAAGCCACAGCCACACCTCGGCAGTTGGACGAACGAGATCGACTGACCAAAAAAAGATTTGCTTGTCTCGGCTCCGAAGGTCTCGCGTTTTTCCCCAACCGCTCGCGAGGGGCTTCTTTCTGCACGTTGCGACAAAGAGCTAGAAAGACAAGTCAAACTTGACGTTTGCCCGACTATACATTAAACGTGAGAGTCGCAATCCTCGATGATATCACCTGTCAATTAAGACATGATGTCTAGAACAAACACCAAAGATAGAATTTGGATCTTGTCAGTCTGTTGTTTCAAGTGGCCAAAATCTGCCTTGCATTAAAAAAGTGGCCGATCGGAAACAATAGCGACGACCGGCACTAAGCCGTGGCTGCTGCTAGGGACACACATGCGTTGTGCTCACCAAACGGCTTGAGCTCGTCGCTGGGCGAGCTGCTCATCGCGATGGAGAATGGCCCATAACAAAACTGACCCTGTCGAGCTGAGAAAAAGGTTCCAAGCCTCTGCACAGGCCAACATAAGTGGGTAACACGCGGTCGAGAATGTGAGAATTTTGGGGGGATTCACTTCTTTTCGGGGGGCTACTCAAAAGGGGAATAAAAGTTTGATTGGCTGGTGCCGCACCTCCCTGCTGGTAAATTCCGCTTGCTGCTTAGCTTAATAAGTGCTGCCATTATGAACAAGATGAGCCACAACCCGTTTGTGCAAACATGTGTCTGCATCTGCAAATGGGGACTGTGAACCCTCGTCGCCTCCCTGCCTCGTGATAATCATGCGTGCAAGGTCGAGATCGCGACTCATCATGCCATGAGGGATCGACCTGCGATCCCCGGATACAAGCCCTCGACCATAGACCAGACGAAGAGAAAAAGGGAAAAACTCTTCCATCAGACGGACTAGAATGGACTGACTGGCTCGAGACCCGACTCCCAGATCAGGCGTGCGGGAAGGGATGTGGGAGGACGCCAGCGTCCCGATCGAGTCAAAATGCCGTGTGCTTGAAACCGGCCTTGGGCAGCTTTCGGGAGACGTCCGCCCACCCGGCCCCAGATAAGAAAGCTCGATCAGTGTCTAGACCATTTTGGGATACCAAAAGGGCATTGCCGAGTGACGATCACCGGGCGCGCCAGGGACGGGACTCAAGTCAAGGTGAGTTGACTGGCCCAAAGCTGGTCTAAGCTGGTCTATTGCAGACAAACTCGAATAGGACCGTTGTGTCGATCTAGCATTACTCACAGAAGTGCAGTTGCTGCTCTCAATCGAGTCTCTTTTTTCTCCCAGGTTGGGTCCCGCACCATCGCGCGTGCTGTCATGCATTGTCAAGATGCGATGAATTCGGGTAGATGAAACACGCTCAAAAAGAGGAGCACGCTATTTTTGCACCATTGAGACAAAGTCCCCAGCTGTCAGAATCCGCGCGGTCTCAAAGAGGGAATGGTTGATCAATACACTTGTCGATGGCAATATTGACCGACGGTGAAGATAAAGATTGATAGCAACGGCGCAGCATTCGGTGGTTTTCTTTGACTGTCGGCACTTGGACGCAGATCGGCAGAGATCCATCGTGAAATCTTATTCTTTTTATCACTCTATTGAAAATGGTAAAAGCTGGTAGGTACTCTAGAAGGTTTGGAAGGGCGCCAGAACCGGCAACTCGTTACTAGCGGCCCGAGGCCAATTTGGTCAGAGTGGATCGCAGTCTCAAAAGCACCAATGAGACCGTCTGATCCCCTGACTGTGAGCAGCTGGCGGCTTGGAATCATCAGCTGGCTGTCAGGAACCGTTTCGCTGTGCATTGAGGATCCTCACAGGGGATGACCACAAAATAATTCTATTCTTGCGCACAAACCCGGTAGATCTGATGCAGAGCGACAATCAACAAATTGCGAGCAATGCACACCCCGAATTGCGCCTTGCCATGATCATCAGCCAAAGGAAAATAATTGCCCGGATACTCCACATAAACCGCATGATGCGGTCGGTACCGTACTTTGTGTGCATGCAACTCATGAATCTGATTTCCTATCTAGTCATTCAACCAGCAACTATTCCGAGAAAGTGGACAGGAAAAGAAAACAACCAACCCCCTAGCTGGGCACAAACGATCAAACACGTTTTTCTGCTCAGCATTGTGCAAGTGACGGAATTAAGCCACTATGACGGAGCTGATGGGAAGAGTGGTGGACCCCCAGCGGGCTTCGCCGCACACTGGGACGCCGCCATCGCTACGGATGTTAAACCCGTTGGGCAAGCTTATGCTTGATGACAGCACTCCCAACGCCAATGTAGGCACCAGGCACAAAGTCTAGACACTTGCAGATGCTGCTATTACCTGCTAGCTATGAAAAGTTGTGCGCTCTTAATGAAAAATAGCTGCGGCTTGAAGGGGCGTATTGTGGACTCGTCCGATTGGCTAGAGCCCTCGACGGTCTGCTTCGGACTTGTATAGCACATCACGCCCGGGTGTGGCAGTGTCTCGTGCGAGCTCGTGTTCTTCCTGCAATAATCGCAGGTGGCAGCCCTGTTGACCTGGACTTGTACACTCCGAGCCTCCCGCACCGTCGCCCTTCGTTTGCTTGTCCACTGCTCTCCTCACCATCAGCGAAATTAGACACTCCTCCGTGCCAGTGCCCCCTCCCCATGTGCGGCGCCGGGCGGTATCTTCCACACGCATCCATTCTTCTCCAGGGACTCGCCAGGGGGAATCACACACAAGCAATTCTCCCCAAACAAATCATGGGTCCAACCTCACACCAGGGTGGGACAGTTTCCACGAGCCAGAACAAGAGTGCTCCATCCATCTCCTTGCAAGCACTCAATTAATGGAAAACGTTATTGTATGGATAGCCGGCAGACGAGCAAACAGACGAGAGAGAGAGAAACTCCTTTTGACTTTTTCTGGTATCTGCGTACGGTATCTACTGTTCGCCCCCCCCCCCTTGCCTAGCTAGCCTAGCGAGAGAAGCTCGGCAAGGCGGTGCAATGTGCCATTCATTCCGGTATTGCAATGCAGGGAATCCATGGAGATTCAGCCTTTTTTGGTCCCTTGGCAAAAGATATTGATCTCCCCAGGGCAGTCGACCGGCTCAATTTGAGCATGCAGATAATGTATGTACCAGGTAGGGGCCTACCACCAGACTGTTATCAGTCTTTTTTTTTTTTCGCAGCAAGCACCGCATCTCACTCGAAAAAGACGGCATACTGTAGCAGCAGCTATCAAGGCTGCCACAATTGTGTCGGCAAGGTGAGACTAGGCAGAGGCAGTAAAAACCCAATCTTGCTTACAGCCATCAATCACATCAGTCTCTAAGGATGAGCTGATGGTTGTCCAAGACCTTTAAATGGAAGCCTATTCTGCAAGTGTGAGAGGCACGGAGAGTCGGAGTCTTGTTGTCAGCGAGGTCCAAAGGTTTGGGGGCGACTGTCTACACACTGAACGTCTAGTACAGGTATCAAGCGTGTTTCGTCGGCCCTCTCCCCTTCTCTGTCGAGACTCGACGGTCTCTCACTCTCACTCACCGTCGAACGGTGCCAGAACCCTGGCACTGAGCCAACCACAGATGAGTATCTTGAAATTATTATTGAAGTAGTTGTATGCATATAGTCGTTGCTGTTCAAGGTTTTGAAGTGCAATGGGGGCCTCGTCATCCTCAGGCCGCAGGCGTTACTGGTTTTCTTTGTTTCTATGGTGAATACAGACACACTCGTACGCAACACTATCTTTCTCGTTGGGGGGGAAGGAGCAGCGGTTCTCATCACTGAGAGAGCGACCTGTTACCGCTTGGCCTGCCGCTGCGCCCGTCTCCTTCAGGTGTCACTTCAGTCTAATGTCGGACGGCCACTGATTCTGGTTGGCTCGGACGTGCTAGGGATCCTAGGTCGGCAGCGTCAAAGTCGATTGGCCCTCGGGCGCCCAGTTGGGTTAGCGGCGACTCTCGAGTTGAGGGAGCTTACGCGTCCTCTGGCCCCACGCGAGCCAAGCAGAGGCCTGCACTAGCCTGCACCCCGGTCGACCTACCGAACAGGGCCAAGTTAATGCCCGGCCCCTGTGCTGCCCACTTCTGGACACTCAGGCCACTTCTTGCTGGCGCCCATAACCATCATCTCCCCATCCATCTCCTCTGCCATTTCTGCTCTCCATTCCCCCCCCCCATTATTCTTGCGAACCGCACCATTCCAATAGTAAATACCCAAATACCCTCCGGCGTCCCTACTACGAAACCAAAGTCTGACACAACATTCAATATATCAGACACTGTCACTATTCACAGCAGCATCGCATCTCGATTCCACCACTAGATCGCTGCTTGCCAAGAAGAAACACCACCCCGACTACCAGTATACAAAGACATGTCAGCATCCAACCAGTCTCAATCCTCTAGTAGTCCTTCCAATACCCAGCCGTGCGTCGTTGATCCTCTCGACATGCTCGACTTCTCAGAGTACGACGGCCTCTCATATCAGTCGCCGTCTGTTTCCCCAGCCAGCAGCTCGAAGCCCCAGTTCGCTCGCCAGACACCATCAGCGCCCACCGGCGCCATGCCTTCCGGCCCTCAGATGCATGGCCCCAGCCATCGCTACGATCAATACAAGCAGCAGACTCCCTTCGTCCCTGGAGCTCTCGCCTCGACAATGACCATTAACCAGCAAGTTGGACACATTGGATACACATTGGACTACGCTCAGTCGAGTCCAAACGACGACATGTTTGACTTCAACGCCGGTCCTTCGCCAAACTTGGAAATGGAGTTCGAGTCTCGCGAGCCCTCATTCTACTTCCCTGGTGATACCATCAACCCGAACGCCATTGCTGGCCGAGAGCAGTCGTTGCCCTCGCCCCCGGCGCTCCAGAGCAACATTGGCCGCATGTACCCGGGTATGCACCAGCAACAGGCCATTGCCAAGGCTCAGGCACAGCAGAGGCAGCAACAGCAGATCATCCAGCAGCAGCAGCAACAGAGGCAGCAGGCCAAGCAAAAGAGTGTTCAGCCCTCGGACCCAATGGTGGAGCAGAAGATCACTCAGTTGCTGAACTCGATGAGAGCCAACCCCAATGGCATGGACATGGGCGAGTCGCCAATGGCCAACATGCCCCGTATCCGCAAGGATGAGGAGGACATGGACGATGATGAGCGTCTGTTGAACAGTGAGGAAGGAAAGAAGCTTAGCAGCAAGGAGCGTCGCCAGCTCCGCAACAAGGTTTCCGCCCGTGCCTTCCGTTCAAGGAGAAAGGGTAAGCGTCTCTCGCAACTATTGATCCACTGATATAATGCTAACTTGTGTGCACAGAATACATCACCCAGCTGGAGTCTGAGATTGCTACCAAGGTCACTGAGAACGGTGATCTCCGTGCCCAGAACCGTGCTCTCCTCGAGGAGAACAAGCGCCTGTCTGACCTCACTCGCATGCTTCTGTCTTCGCCTTCATTCTCCAACTTTCTGGACCACCTGAGCCAGAACCCCAACCCAGCTCCTCAGCAACAGCAGCTGGCCGCTCAGATGGCACAGAGACGGACAGAGCAGCGCCAAGTCCCCAAGGACGTCAACGCCTACGCTGCTGGACGTCAAGCTCAGCAGCAGCAAATTGGTATGGTTATGATTCCGGAGCAGACCATGGACTTCTCCATGCTCAACATTGCCGAGTCAACCGAGGCTTACAACTACCAGCCTCAGGTTTTTGCCGTCCTTGAGACCCCTGAGATGCCTGAGATCGATACCGCTGTCCTTTCTGGCAAGACTTCCGATGTCTTGAGCGAGTCTGTTGACGCTACTGAGAAGGTTGAGATCGCTCTTCCCGAGGTTCCCGTTCTCCTCGAGTCGGCCAAGACTCAGGTTCCCGAGACCCCTGTTGAGCAGGTCCAGACCGGAAAGGTTGTCGCTGACCTCGACTCTGATATCTTTGACGACGAGACCACTGTTTCATCGTCTTGCCAGTCTATTGTTGATGCCCTTTCCACCATTGTGATCCCGTCTGAGAAGGCATCCGTGTTTGAGCTTGTTGATGCTTCGCAAGAAGAGGCTGTCGCGGCAAGGGCTCTGGCTCGCGTCTCGAGGCTTACTTCCAGCATAGAGGCTACCATGTCGAGGCTGGAGCGTCTCACAGCCGACCTATAAGCTTATTGTACACTATTGTCTCTTTTTCTCGGATTGGCGTTTGCATGTTGCATCAATGGGATATACCGGAATTTGGCGTTGGGATCGAATCAATAGCATCGTCACGACATAGTGGCTTGGGAGGTAGCCATCTGTCATGTTTTCGTTTTATTTTACGTTTTTACCTTTCGACTGTCTATATGCCCGCTTGATCCAAAATCGGATCTACAGTATATCTGAGTTTCTTTTGTACGAATAGAAAAATGATGGGAGGAATGGCCAACAGACTGCCGGGTCTTTGTTTACGATGATGATACTTTGGAAGGAAATGGATGTTGGAACAGCTTGGCCTCCGAGTCTGCTGTAATAGAACTTAGCTATTAGCTGCTGTTGAAAACATAGTAAACAGTGCAAAAAAATTTCAAAAATGTCTCTTAAACACTCATCTTGACTTGCTTGACCATGTGTGAAAATTGACTGCTTGCTTACCACCATCAGTTGTGACACTTAGTCACTGGCTGACGATGGTGCTTCATGACAAGCTTCCGCCAGCGCTCTAGGTCGTCGTCCATCGACGGAAAACAGGATACTGATACCAAGAATACGAGTTTTGGAGAGATGCTGACGGGTGTCTTACGATGCTGATAGTACAAAACATGTATTGGTGTCTGGTTATGAGATGCAAATTCACTTTTCCATGGCTGATGCAATATGCACAACAACGCACACATGGGCATACCCGTTGAAGCCGTTGAGCCACACTAGCGGCGCGTCAAGAGCTTGAACTCTGGGCACAACTTGAAACACGCTTCATTATATATAAACACAGAACAACAAGGGACCTTTTTTTTTTCCCCTCCCTTTTTTCTGAAAGACAATTGTCCAGCTGTGGCGTATTCTAATGCCCCCAACCAAACGCCACCTGCAAGTTTGCTCGTGCCATTGTAAAACGTCGTTCCATGTTTATCAGACGGGAGGATGACCTTGGCACAGATATTAAGTTTGCGATGAAGCCTCTTTTCTACTTGTATCTGATGAGATGGTCAAGAGAAATACCTCTCGGCTTAAAGTCTTCCAGGTACCTGGGTATCGTCATGGAGAGATTAGTGTACAGTCATCGACAAGCGTAGATGTTGTTTTCCTGCCTGCAAGTCGTCGAAAGAGCCGCGCGCGCGTGTGTGTAGGCAGTTGGTAATCGGCCATGTTTGATCATATAATCGAGCTAACTTTGATTGAGCGACCCCTCCGTGATAACGTATTTCTACCGTCTGGTGTTCTTTAGCTCAAAACTCAACCAGCCAGGTCTGGCAGGGCGGGTAAGGGACAAGAAAGCTTGACGCGTTTTCGAGCTACAGGAAGCTTGCCCTTCCACTTACTCATCGCGTCCACGCACACAGAAACCCTATCTCGTGTGTAGGAAAATGGGCGACTTGAGAGAGCTGCGATAGTTTCCGCAGCAGCCGAATCTGGAGCTGATTTCGTGACATCACTAACCACGCTGGTTTATCTAGTATCTGACATTCGAGCCATTATTGCTCTCTTGCCCAATCAGCCTCTGGCTCGAAAAGGGCTTTCTGCTCAATTCGGTTGCCGACTTGACTCAGAATCAGGGGCCTCGGCAGCTTCGGGGAATTATTTCCACTGTATCACGGATGGTGCCGCAAAACCTTCTTTTCTCTCTCTCCCTTTCGGTCGTCATTACGACGACGGCCCGCCCGCGGGTTACGCGGGTTATGTGTGACCTGTTGGTATGGTAATGACAGATATATGTGTATATATATACAAGACCAAGTTCTGGAACCCCAACATTGGTTTGAAAGGGAATAATGTCTTGGACTTTGCAAGAACGAAAACTTCCAAGTCTAAATGCCTCCTCAATCCGTCTGCTTTACTGCATGACGGTGAGTTCACTATCATCTCTCATCGCAACACCACAATGAGTCGACGACTATTTGGCCAGAATGGCTCAGACAGTACGCTGTACGCACGGGATGCCGAGGTAGCAATTGCCCAGCAAGCACAGCAGGCGCCGCCTCGTCCTCTTCCTGTCGGATTCTGGCATCATGACTTGTACAAGGTCAGGAAGCATGCAGCCAAGAAGTACCCTCAGACAGGTATGCCCTTTTTTTTNTTTTTTTTTTTTTTTCGCGACCAAGCTCTCTCTCGCGGGAAACTTACCAATCAAACAGTACTCATGCTCTTTGTTTTCGTCATGGCGGTCCTCTTGCTCTACTGGGCAGTCCTGTTTCGAGTGGAGGAGAAGATGTCGGCCCTGACGGTCCACGTCGTCGACTTTGACGGGCAGGCTCCCTTTGATGATGTTGATCCGTTTGTGGGCCCCATGGTCACCGAGCTGGCACTGCAGACGAACGATTTGGATCGTCCGACGCTGGGGTTCTCTGTCCTGTCGCCTGCAGAGTTTAACAATGACCCCATTGCCGTTCGCCAGTCTGTCTATGACGAGCACTGTTTTGCCGCCATTATAGTAAATGCCAATGCCAGCAGTATGCTCATGAGCGCCGTCCTGAATGGAAATACGTCCTATGATCCGACCGGCGCAGTACAGTACATTCTCTTGTCAGCCCGAGACGAGACGGCCTACTCCAACTACATTTATCCCCAGCTACAGACATTTAGCGATACTTTAATGGCCCAATTCGGCACTGTATGGACACAGAGTCTGACGGGCAGCAGTTCCGTGACCAAAGACATGCTAGCAAGAGCTCCGAGTGCTGTGAATCCTGGGATAGCGCCCCTGAAGATAGACCTTCGACCTTTTGGGCCACCTACTGCAACGCCTTCCGTGACGATTGGCTTGATCTATTTGATTATTATGGCTTTCTTCTCCTTCGCCTTTTTCTTTCCAATTCATCAGGTAATACTCATTGTGACGTTCCTGGATTTATTGGGAAAAAGAATTGCTAATGATGCTGGCAGCAATTTGTGATACCCGCAGGCCATCGACCCCTTCACTTTTGGCAATTTATTCTATGGCGCTGGCTGGCCACGACCGTTTCTTACATTTTCATCTCCCTGGCCTACTCCCTCGTCTCCCTGTCGTACCAAATCCCATTCTGGAAACCTCCGGCCTCGCCCACCGAGGTGGCCTTGAACGCCAGCGCCTACGGCCGCGGCTCGTTCCCCGTGTACTGGATGATCAACTTTGTGGGCATGGTGGCGCTGGGCCTGGCGTCGGAGAACGTGACCATGGTCATTGGACAGCCCTGGACCGCGCTGTGGCTCATCTTTTGGGTCATCACCAATGTCGCTACGGCCTTTTACACGCTCGACCTGGCCCCCGACTTTTTCCGCTGGGGCTACGCCTGGCCGCTGTATAATATCGTCCAGGCCAGCCGCACCGTGCTCTTTGATTTACACTCGCGCATCGGTCTCAACTTTGGTGTGCTCTTTATCTGGGTTGCGATTAATTCGATCCTGTACCCTTTTTGTTGCCACTTTATGCGTTGGCGGATCGAGCGCGAGAAGAGGGCCGCCGAGAAGAGCAAGGGCCAGTTTGCTGTCGACACTCCTCCTCCCGCTCCCGCTCCCCTACCTCCTGTTAGCGACAGAGGGCATTCACAAGACGTGGGAGCGAGTCCAACGAGTATCATAAGCTTTTGGAAGGGACGCTGATGGGATGGGAATACGAAGCTACTTCAATTCTACCATTCTACCTTGTATTGTGGCCGCCGTGTCCAAAGCCATTCAGGCATTGTATTTAATGACATGAATACCAACATTTTCTAAGGATAGATTATTCTTGATGACGCCAGCTCGAGTATATCCGATTATGTAATGGAAGTCGAGTATAAGCAGGAGTAATTGCCGAATACACTCTTCAAGCCGGGGTCATCAATTAGATTGAGGTATAGTAAACCTCGACGATGCATTGGTGAGATACAGAGTTTCACCGGACGCAGATTCACTTCCGGAGTCAGCAGCCACTAACTTAGTCCAACCGGAGAAGCATCTTTGCAAGGTCTCGATCATCGTCGGCGGAGAATATGTGGTAAGCAACACCTGACAAATCACGTCCTGCCCTGCCGGCTGTTGCCGCGACTCCGCGCCGAGCCCGCAGCTCCGCTCCGACAGCTAATTCTCAGAATTGAGGCCCCTAGCTTCAAGGCACGCCTGGCGCGTTGTGCATCGTGAGCTTCAATCAGCCAATAGCCTGGGAACGTGAAGACCCTGCTGCCTCGGTTTGGGTCTTGCTTGGGCGGCGGCCAATTGAGGTGACTGTTTAGGCCGGCCCGGACGACACGTTTGAGAACGCAATCCCAACGCGATACCGCAGCCCCAATGCGTTCCTTGCAATGTATGTATGCCGCAGATCTCTGCCAGGGGGTTTTATTTCACTGCATTTTTAACCTTCACGAAGCAAACAGGCAGCGGAGACCCTCAATCAGGTGGGGCACGGACGTTGCGTCTAATAGGGTGCATTTCGTGAGTCTGACAGTTGGAGGGCAAAGTGGCTTGGGCAAAGACCCAACAAAATGCAGGGAAAGCATCTACTCTATATAGAGACATTTGCTTGAGAAATAATTATACCCAATAAAACCAGACACATGAGTCATGGTTGTTAAGATAATAAAATATTGATTTAGCATAGCAGCGACAAAAGTGTGGGAAACTCCCAAGCAATCGCATTTCAAGGCTGTCCCACAAAAGGTGGGATTCCCAGACAGACTTGACCTTCTCAAGGACACGGATCCGAGAAAGAATCAGCTGCTTGTTATTGGTTTGTTGTTGGCGGCACGAAGATTGCTTTGATTTGTTGTTGTATTCTGCGTTTGACCCTGTTACCAGACGCATCCACACAACTAGTCTTGGCGACAATCTCGAATAGACTCTGCCCAGCAATAGGACAAGACCGAAGGCGGGACATCATTCCATATCCAAAGCAGATATGTGCTATGCAGTCATCGTACAACATATATAGAGGTGTAATTACAAATCACTTATTAAGATTGTTGCCGTTACCAAGGTTCAAAGTGCATGATTAAAGATCACCGTGGTGAAAGCCTAATAATAGAGACTGCAAAATTGATGGTGGTCAACGTGGTAAGCTAATGTCGGTATCTATTTTCTGACCCGAGACGATGTGAAACTTTGGAAAAGTCTCAAATGGCACCAGTATTAAGCTGTATCGATCCTGATGGTGCACCGATGTAAGTATACCGCACATCCGTCAGATCTGAGCCCTTGATAACGACGACGATTTCGAGAGCGCCCGGTATGACATCAAAATTATTTGAGCTCAAAGTCAAGCCGCGCCGCTCTTCAAAGACAAGACCCTTGACTGGATGGGAGGCATTTACGTGGACTTGTAGCTCCTCGTTACTGATACGAGATGTTTCCATACTGAGACGTTCTCCTGTAAAGTCGAGGTACTTGAAGGGCTGTGGCCAGGCAGCGTCGCTGGACAGAATCTCTTCTTGATCAACGTGCTTTAGAGTGGCATGGATGACATAGGGATCATACTTGCTCAAGTCGAACGGCGTTGAACTATCCTCAAGATCAGGGTTGAGTGGACCGATGCTCGTTTTCACCACAGTGCTTGTGCAATTGGCTCCCGCCAGTAGATATTTGTGGATGACTGGGAGTACATCAGCGCCAGTCTTCACTGATATGAACCGGATTTCGACTTCGAAGTTGATGGGTTCCTGCAAATGTTAGTGTTCTGCCGATCCTCTCTAGAAGCTTTGATGTGCAATGTGGGAGCATGTATCAAGGGCATTTGTGTATCTGCGCTCACCTGACGATCGTTCACTACCCATACTTCGTACTCTGTATCCGTCCTAGCATCCTTGGTAGGATCTACGTGGCCAAGATCCAGCATGGCATTCATGTGAGTCTGAGACCAATCATGACAAGTCCTCGAGATGCCTACAGCACAAGGAGCCAGAGCCCGCTGAATTGAATAATAAGCAGGCTTCTTGACACGATAATGGTCTACGATGGCCCAAGAGATGGTCGGCCAACAATCATTGAGCTGCCATACTAGGACCCCGCCGCAGCCTCTGTGAGATTTCACTCCCCATGACTTTCGCCAAGCCTTGTACGCATACGCCATGGCCTCTGCCTGGACAATCTGCGAAAGGTGGATGAAAGCGGCAAGATCATACTTGACTTGAAAGTTCTCGGCAATGTAGCTCATCAGGCGACGTTCATGGCCAATGGCCTTGTTGTGGAAATCCATGATCACGGATCCCGGGTGTCTTTGTTCGGGAGATGTGATCACAGATTGGATGGTTTCCAAGTGTGGGTAAGCTACCATGCCGAATTCACTGACAAGGCGACCGCAGAGCTTCTCGCTGTATTGATACTTTTCCATGGTTCCATGCCAAACTAAAGTCGTCAGCTCAGAAGATTCATCATGATGGAAAGGGCCCATTATAACCATTGGCAGGCGACTTACTATTCCACTGATGTATGTCGCCCACGGTGGGATCATCGCTCCTCTTGCCATCGCCCCATGGACTGGTGGGGTGGTAGACAGCGCCTGGGTTATGCCGTTTAACAAGATTTGGGAAAAAGTATTCGTAGTAATATCGTGCCGGGAAATCGGTCTTCAACCATGATCTTGGATCCTTGTCGTCGTAGTTGTATTCCAACTTGTACCTCTCTTGTACTTGATAATCCTCATTGCTGCCGGCCCAAATGACCAAGGAAGGGTGGTTTCTGAGTCGTAGCAGGTTCTGAAATGCTTCACTTTCCACCGAGGATCGAAAGGAGGGATAAGTAGGATAGTTGCCGCAGGCGAAGCAGAAGTCTTGCCAGACAAGGACTCCCAGCTCGTCACAAGCATCATAGAATGCATCATCTTCGTATATACCTCCACCCCAAACTCTGATCATGTTTTGGTTTCCATCCCTCAGTAGCTGGATCCAATCATGATACTGATCTCGCGTCAGAGATGAGAGATGATTTGAAGCCGGAATCCAGCAGGAGCCTCCCACAAACACATCAACATCATTGATGCGAAAGTAGAAGGACTTGCCAAAGTCATCTGGTTCCTGGATGAGCTCAACTTTGCGGAGACCGATGAGTTTAGATGATTGATCAATGATGACACCTTCTTGGACGAGAGTGGCTGAGATTTTGTAGCGCGGCTGTGGTCCATGCGAGAAAGGATACCTTGAAACATCTCAATGTTAGTCACACCTCACGAAGAACCTTTGGAGCTTGCTCACCAAAGCTTAGGGGATAGAATTACAAAGCGACAACCGAACGAATCAGCGTCATCTCGGTCCGTTTGCTCGCACTCCACTTGGCAGACCTCATCGTCATCGCAAGAGATTGAGAACAAAATTCTACTGCCAATTTGTGAGCATCGGGTCTCGCAATATAAATAGCCAATGCAGTTCCCATCTGCTCCAAAAGTATACTCAGCCCACAAATCATTAATCTTGGTGGAATAGTACTCGAGATATACTGGACGCCATGGCCCAGACGTTCCCGAGAGAATCGGACCCCAATCCCATCCCCAGTGATACTGAGCCTTTCGTACCGGAATGCGACTGTCCTCGCTCTGCCGAGCAATGAAGCGATGCTCGTGCTTGTGCTCCTCGACCAGCTCCTGGCCTCGCAGTCGGGCAGATGCAAAGGTGATTTCCAGTTCGTGTTCATCGTTAGGCTCGTCCTTGCACACGAGGCGATTGATGTTGCAGCGGTACGACAGGAACATGTTTCCGGCCTCCAAGATTACCTGCCCGTCGAGACGCACCGTCGCAAAGGTGTCGAGGCCTTCAAAGACCAAGTCGACCCTTTCGCCATTCTTGACTGCCAATGTGTCAATGCGGAGCTTGGTGGTGTATATCCACTGCTTGTCTGCAATCCACCTGACGGAGAGCTCATTGAGATCCTGGACGGGGTCGGCGATCTTGTCGTGGGCCAGCAGAACCTGATAAACGTCGGTTGGGACAGAGGGAACTGATAATCTCTCGTGTTCGGTGCTGTCATCATCGCCCGCTTGTTGCAGGAACCATCCTTGGTCGAGTTTGAGTCGTTGCGGCATCGTTAGATTTTGGGCATCAATGATTGTCTTCCCCGCTCACTTCCCAGCATCTGTCCTTTGCTTATTGATTGAGACAGGGCAAGGTAAACAAGAACTGCCACCTGAGCTTAGGTAGTCATGCATTTGTCCCGGCTGCACCTGCTATGGATCTCGAATAACACCGGAGGCCAGATGATTACATTTGGCGGAAAGAGTGATTGAAAAGTTGCAATTATTCGGATAACATTTTGAGTAGTACAGGCGTGATCGGCCTCGTCTTCGCTGTCAGGTAGCAGGCACAGGAGCGAACAGGGGAATGAACCCCACAGCGCTGCCGTGGCAGACGCAACGTGCCCGCACGGTAGAATAGTGGCGATACTTACCTCTATATTTGGTAGTACTTTGTGTGTTATACGACCACATTGGTATTGGAGCAGTCATTGTACGTTCTGTTGTATTTTGTATAACACGAACGGAAGGTGAGATCTACATTGAATGGGCTGGCACATATGCTCACGAGCCACAAGGATCACGGTACCACAGTGCCACTGATGGTGAGTTTCACAATGCCCAGCACAATCTTCTCCGATCTGCATTCTATGGTTGGAGACGTGCGAAGCTGTCGCAGACGCGCGATAGGAGTATTTCCATGGCGGCATGCGCTTTTCAAGATTGAAAGAGAATACATGTCTAGGAACCTATGCAGGTCCCAGCTGGAATTCTTACAGGGCCGATGCACTAAATCGAGAATGCATACTGACCCCGACGAACAAACTCAAAACATTGCTTGCCATATGGAACACGATCATTGCAGTGGTATTTATCTACAATGTCCAGCTAGATTCCAATGGCTCGTATCGACAATCAATGGACTTAACATCAGCTTCACCTACAATGCTTTAAGCAACGAACCTTGCCGAAGCCTCAAGTAATGTAAGGCGGCATGGGCGCAGCAGAGCAATCCACATAGAAACGTTGCATGCGTCGGCTCTAGCAACCTGCATTTCGCTCTACTAGATTGCGAAATGTTTTGGAGTTGAGTATCTTCAACTGAGTAGTGGCTGTAGCCGTAGAAACAAAACGGCCCGGAAATAGCATCAAAGCATCACCTCGTATGCCAGAAACCAAGGTTCAGTCTGGCCGAAGAAGCAAATAGTGACTGATCTTGGTATCCGGGACCTGCTTCTCATAGGTCTACCAGCCAATTGAGAGGCGCGATGGTGACGGCAGCGTTGTTTTGACTTGCGAACCTTGTTTGACCAACTGCGATCCAAATGTGATCAATGGAAAGCCCAAATTGACAATCTGAGTGCTTCACGTGAAGCTAGAATACGCAAGCGTCGCACAGCATAAGAAATAAATCCATAAAGGACACGAACTGAATGTTGTACCAAAGTATGCGAGGATTGGCATCGTCCCGGACCTCTGGTAAGTTTGGCTGGCATCTAATATTCAATGCATCCTGCGCGCATCGTTTGAGCAATC